CTTTTTCTATCAGGGTCACTGGGCAACTGGGCAATGGTTTCGCAGGAGTTCTCATTTTCTCCTTCAGTTCTTGCCCTGCATTTGTTTTTGGAACCCTAAAAGGGGCCCAAGATTCGTGTTCCTCTAAGCATGCTTGTTTGTTGGGTTCCAGGTCAATCTGCAAGAGATGACTGGTGGGATTCATGGTTGCTTTCTCCCTTCCGGCATTCTGAGCTGGTGGTTTCCTGGTTTAGGGCACTACCCTGTGGCAAAGGAAGCCAATACTGGGTTAATGTTTGTTGCTTTCTCCAGTTTCTCCAGTCAGCACCCAGACTAATAAAGAAAGTCACTGTGGAGGGGGGGCCAGTGTCGACACCGAAAGTGAACCCGCATCTCGCCCAGACGCCGTCATTCAGTGGATCATCCCGGCAGTCCTTATGTCGCACGCAAGGTTACTCAAGTTGACCACTTTAAGATACGCAAACACACCACTGCGAGCCTTGCCACTGTGAGCCCGGCGAAAAAAACGAGACAGACCACGCGCTAAAGTTGACACCGATGCTTGCGTTTGTCCTGCGAAGTATCGCATCAAACTCTTGTCGCCATGAGCGTGCCAGCGCTGACTCTCGACCAGCTGCCGTGGCCTTAGCACACGATCCGCAATTCATCGGATGTTCACGCCACGGCAGGTAAGTAGGTGGTGTATGTCATATATATATATAGGTCCCTGTACATTTTTCCTCAAAACAGCACCCCCAATTCACGTTTAAAACAACCAAACAAGGAAATCTGGGATGCCCTGTCATTCTCCAAGTCGAGGTTAGGACATTTCCAGGTTCCCTTCCACAGGTGCTACGCCTCCGAACATGAAAAAGTGCATTTGTTCCGGCCCCTTTCGGAAGGCTTCCGTTTCTTTGGGCAAAGGGGCGACTGTGCGCCAAGCTATGGTTGTTGAAGGTCTAGTCATGGACTGGTTTCCTGAACACGTTTGCTCCTGAAAAAATGCATTGTTGGAAGGAACCTCATCCACAGTTGGGTCAATAGTAGACGGCACAAACTTCCTATTTGACTGCTATCATCCCCTTTTCTTATGGACATACAGGGAAGGATGCTATCTACTCTCAGCCTGGAGTAACGAACGCGCGCGTTCAGTGAGGCTGGGCTACAGTGGGAAGAGATTGCGATGCGACGGCCGAGCGCTCAGCGAGCGGAATTGAGCGTGTCGCAAAGCTCGTAAGAGAGAACTCCTAGGGCCCCCCCAACCCAAGCAAGTGTTCTTCGAAACACTCCTTCCATTTGCTTAAGATTGTTACGATGTTTTCCCTGTCGATTTAAGCATATTGGACATATGTTTTGTTTTTTTTTTCCAGGCGACGAAGCTAGAGGAAGTCTGGGAGAGGGCCTAGGGACCTGAAATACGGAGAAAGGAGAAATGAAGACAAGCCCAGGAAAGAAGGTGTAGGGGCCCAGAGGGGCAGATTGCAGGGCATTTGCACTTCTTCGTAGAAGTAACTTGGGCTCGCTGTAGCCGTAGGTGGCACAGGGCAGCTTAAGAGGAAAAGTCGGGGTCCCCACAAGTTAAACCGGAAGGTTTCTCCATGAATTCTTTGATGAGAACCCCCTCCTTACGTTGGTCAGAACCATTTTTGGGTAGACCAAGCATGGCGGGGAAGCCCTTTAGGCGCTGGATATGGAACTGGGTCGAGGGCAAAGTGATCACATACAAATTTGTGCAGGGGGTGTTTGTCACTAAAGCGCGGGGGGGAGGGATTGCCCTTTACTTGCATGGACCCAGCAGAAGCAACTTGCTGTCACTGGCAAGGTCGGTCCATGGTTGTCGTTGGGAAACATTCTACATTTTTGCTTATTGTGGTTTAGTGGTTGGAATCCAAGCACTTAACGGCTAAAATTTTTAAACTTTTGCTCCCCAAACCCAAGGTCGACCGGTCGTGTTGACGTATCAGAGTTGTGGCCAGCTCTCAGATCAAGCCTGCGGCTTCACAAGAAACGCGGCTGTGAGACCGGGCAGCAGGAATCCTTGCCGCGCCGTTCAACGGTGACCTGCCCATCCATATCTCGCCAAATTCATGTTCAAGGTGCGGAGTGTGAAGCAAAGCCCTTTTAATGTGTGGAGGGTCCCCCAAACAAACCTTCCCCTTCTGGCACAAATGAGATGTACGCAAAGACCCCACGTTTTTCACAGGGCTTGGGACTAGGTTTGAGTCTGAGAAAGTGACCGCCTGCCATACCAGGGGGTTGCTTTTTCGTGCTGGCAAGTAAACTTACCTCTTAAAAACACAACTTTTCAACTTTTTGGGTAACATGGGCTATATGTCTGTAAAAGATTAACTTCCCCAGGCCTTGGAGTTCTAAGGGGTAAGTAAAAGGTGCCCTTTTTGCGGAATACTAGGGACATTCCCTACTTATCGCACCGATCGCAAGTTTTCCCTTTGGTTTGAGTACTCACCTTGTGACTCTTAAATGTAGTTGTGTCCAATATTTATGCCATTTTTGGGGGGCTGGAAGGGGGACAACTATGCATTTTTCAATGGTGGCTTCGGTTTGTTTGGGGGGGCTGGACGGGGGAAACAATGCATTTTTGTCCTCTTGTGACTTGTGTGAACATTTATTCCATTTTCCCCTGACGCAAAGTTCGGTTTGCTTGGGGGTCAAAAATGCTGGTTTTCCTCTTTTGACTATGAAACTTCATCCAATTCGGTTTGTTTGGGGGTGGGGGAACGGACACATTTTCTCCTGTGAAAGTTCCATTTTCCCCAGGCGGTTTGGGGGCCCGGAAGCCCCGTCCCGCCTCGTCTCCCTTGAGGTGCTGCTCATGGCCATGGCCTGCGTGGCCGCTGGGCTTCAGAACGACGCTCTGAGCTCCGGAACCGAGGTGCCCCGCAGCGCGCGGAACATGGCCGCCGCACTGCGCCGCGGCCGGGTTTGGAGCATAGGTGTCCTTTTGGGTTGTTTTGGTGGAAAAGTAGATGGCCCCGGTTTACCTGGTGGTTTAATCACCTGGTGGTTTAATCATCTACCAGGGAAATCCATCTATTTGCCCTAAAAGGACACCTATGGTTTAGAGGTGTTGAGGGTTTTTTGGGTATTGCCGGGGGCCGGGGTTCAAACCACCCCGGAACACCAAGGCAATGCAAACCACCAACAAGAGGGAAGCTAACCATTTGTGTTTGACTGCTGATTGAGACATCACCTGTTTTGGGCCAGCAAAAAAAGGGAGTGTCACTTGGAGGTGAGTTGTCAGGGGAATATAGGCAGCTCGGGATATTCTTATGGTTTAAAGAGAAGCTGCGGGCCTTTGGCATCGAAGGAACATCCTGGGGGCGCTGGTGGCGTGCATGTCCCACACCCAGCGCCAGCGTTTCACCGCGGCGCTGCACCTCGCCATCGCCTGAGAGGATTTTTCGAATGAAAATTCGGACGACCGGCGCAGCGCGTATCTGACAGAACTGCGGATCGGTGTCTGCCGTTTGCGTCTAAATGAATATGAATATGTGTTGTTTTCCCGTAAGGTTTTGAAGGGACTCTATCTTTTCCAAAAAGGCTTAAGTAACTGGTGGAAATATGTTGTTATTCTTGAAGGGCGAACAAGCAAATGGATCTTTTTGAGCGTTTCTCACAAGCGGCCCCGCCACAGCCCGTTTCACGTAGCGAGTCGCAGACTCAGGGACTTGTTGGGTCGCATGCAGCCGGTGAGTCAGATGGCGGAAGCAGAAAGAGCGGGTGCCGTTCTCGCACTTCAAAGGGGCGGTTGCTGCAGGCTGCGGGTATGTGTCAACATAGGGCCATAGGTAACCCCCCCCCCAAAAAAAAAGAGAACAACAAAAAACGGGCTAAGGTCACTATAAATTTGCTTCAACACCCCCCCCCGCCCAAAATAAAACTCCTTTTGAAGTATCAGTCGAAATAGGGGGGAACCCCGGAAACCGGTGTTTTTCACGTTCGCTTTCTTTTGAACCGACCTGAAAAGGGTACCCTCACCCCATAGGTGTTCTTGTTAAGGTCACGTTTGTGAGCATAGGCCTGCCAATTTTGGGTCAAGGACCTCCAAAATCAGGGTGATCTATATTTCCCTCTCGGGTGATTTAAACATTGCCTTTGGGCCGACTTAAGGTGAGTCTACTTGAAGGGCCCTGTAGATGTTGGGCATGCGCACTGACCGCAGCTGGCCCAAGACAATTGACAACGAGCGACATGCATGGCTTGCGTTGGCGGAGCAGTGAGGCCCTTTCATTCGCTGAAAAGAAGATTTTTGTTCGATGTCCCCAGTTGGGTTTTTTCTTTAGCGGAGTCGACCCCTCATTGGCCCCGCCTTGGTGAGATAGTTTGGGAAGAGATTCAGGCCCTCCATTGCTTCCAACTCACTAAGCGGATTGACGGGATCTGAAACCTTTGGGTTGCACTGACTTGGTCCATCGCCAAGGTTCCAAACGGTTCACCTTTGCTTTCTGGGTCATTTGGGCAGAGCCAACAAAGCAAACCTGGGGTTTGGGTGCTCTTGAAAAGTGAGCTGGAATCCTATTGGCGGAACCTGCGGATCACCCCAAGCAAATCGACCGATCTGACTCTCTAGCGTTGGTTGAGTTTTGGTGTCGCCCAACGGCCAGTCTTTTTCATTTTCTCATTCTGGTTGCGATGTGCATCAAGCATTATCTGCCAACTTTAGGGGATGCCGTTAGATTGAATCTGGGGCACCTCAGTTGAATTTTGCTGAGGCTGAACTTAGCTTCATTTGCAACGAGCATATGTGCTTTGTTGCAATCCCAGAGTGTGCTTATAGCTTTGTTTCTAGCTTTGTAGCTTTGTCGCATATGTTTCTTCTGGTTTGCAGCTAGGCCCCCCAGTAGTGGCCTTTACCCTTTTTTGGGGAGGGTTCCCCTACTAAAGTAGACTACCGAAAAAATAGGGTACCAACTTGTTCTAACCTCTCAAATCTGGAGGACCTAGTAGTTTTGTTTCTTCTGCTTCGTGCATAGATCAGTGTGTCAACTGCCCGCAGCGCCATGTCCTGGGGCCCCAGAAGCAACGAGCCCAACGCGCCGGCCAGCGCGAACCTAGCCAGCGCGGCGGTGCCGAGCGCAGCGGTTTCGAGCGCGAAGCCGCGCTCGGCGCTTTGGCGTAGCCCAGGAGTTTTGTCCTTTTCTTACCTCTTAAAAACACAACTGTTCAACTTTTTGAGTAACAGGGCTATATGTCTGTAAAAGATTAACTTCCCCAGGGCTTGGAGTTTTAAGGGGTAAGTGGCCCCAACTTTTAGAAGGGGGTGTCCCTTCAAGTGGCCCCACTGGAGGTTTTTTGAAACTTGGCTTGGTGATGTTGTTTTTTGAATGGTGGCATTATTTGAATGGCAACAGGGGTTTGCTGAAAGAATGCATCTCGGCCGAAGCAGACTCCACCTTCACCGGCATTTTTACAAGGGTTTCTACCACGTGTTTTTTTTTGCGTATATCTTTCTGACCCGCAGCTATAGTCTTTAGTGGGTTTACACTGGCAGCTCGCGATTTTCACCCTAGTTCTTGTAGAGGTTAATGGGAAACCGCTCCAAACCACAATTGGGAGGAAGCTGCGAAAATGCTTTGGCGCCCCTGGTTCTAATAGAGTGTAAATGAGTGTAAAGCCATCGCACCGATTCGGATCGCAATCCAATCCACCCTTTCCGGGGGAAGCTGACGACCCCCGCGCGCCTCGCTCGCTGCAGGTCTCTCCGCTGCAGTCTCGCTGGACCTCCGCGGTGTCCTCGGTGAGCCGCACGGCGCGGGCGGCCTCCGCGGTAAAGTCCAGCTCCTTGAGCCCCAGACGCCCGGCGCGAACCGCGCGCTTCGCGCCGCGCGGTCGCGCGTCGCCGGGGTTTTGGAAGCGCGCGGGTTTTGATCGGCGGTTTGTGAGCCGAAAGGGGAAAGACGGCCAATTGGGTGCCTGCGTTTGTGTGTTTGTGATTGTGTGTGAGGGTACCCCGTTGTTGATTTTTTGAGGCGATGATGGTGATGTCAGTCTGTGTGTTTTTGAGGGTGCCCGAATTTGACCTCGGCTCAATAGGGAAACCAAAAGGACAACATCCATTTTGGAGGGTCACCCTATTTTGACACTTGCCCATTTGGCAGCCTGGCAAGCAAATGAACTGAAGGATATATTTTTTGAATGGGGATTCCCTTGAACATATTCTTGGATGGGTATTCCTTTTTGAACTATTGGATGGTTCCCTCCCTGGACAGTAGCCCTCTGATTTCCCCTCCCTTTGCGTATCCATGGTTTATGGTGAGCTCACCATTTGCAAAGCCAGCTAATTCTGACAGTTCTTTGTTTGAAAATCCCTAACTTCCCTCAGGGAAATTCCAAATGGAGCTTGGACCTTTTGGTTTTCCATTGGCCATGTGTGAGCCTTTCTGGTTTTGGCAATTTATTTTTCCCTTTTTTCGGCGTCGTGGCCTTAGGGTTTCCCTTTGGTTTGCCCATGTCCAAATCTTTCGGGTTCCAAGAGGTTGGACTTGCTCAGGAAGTGGCACGGACGACCCGAAGCAGCTGAAGGAGAGGCGGTTGAACCAGGGATGGACGGCTTGAAAGGGAAACCGAAGGAACACTACGCCTGCTCCAACATACAAAGCAACTGTCAATTTATGTGTTCTTTTTTGGCACACGTTAGTGTAACCTGCATTGCCATGTTAGCGTCAACATATGTTAGGTTAGCCCACTTGGAATATGTGGAGACGCCCCCACAAACAAGGAGACGACTTGGATGTTCAAACGAGGTATGTGGTTTACAACATGGCTATTCGGGAACAAGTGTGTCACTATGCAGTACGTAATCACAGGATTACTTTTTGAGCCCTGAAACGGAGCCCCTGGACCAAACCCTGGTTGGTTTTAGGCTTACGGCAAACCAATCGCGGTTGCACCCAAAGTGGGTGGATACACGGGTGTTTCGCTACCAAGGGTTCACTGAACATCCGATGTTGGACGGCCTTTCCCCTTCCATTGTTTTCTTTGGGCAGGCTGGATGGGGCGGGCACGGAGTCACTGCATTTGAGCATGAGTCCGGGATCCGGCCAATTTTGAGACATCCATTTGCTTACTTCCCGAATCTGGAAATGAGACCCCCTTCCACCAAACATCAAAGTGCAGAGACCCCATGGGAAGACTAGTGTCTTTCCAGACAGCCGGGCCTAGGCACCAGCCATGGAAATGATGAGTTATTTGGGACGTGCAGGGTTACTTGTATCACTCTATTTCCCCTTTTGGTGGTTTGACACTTCTGGCCCCTTCTGTTTGGTTCGATGCTAGCCACCGAAACCCATTCAATTTTTCAAAGGCACACCTACTGTGGATGGACGAAATCCTGCACCACTTTGAAACCATGGGAAACCACAATGCTCTTTGTTGTGGCGGTTGCACAAAGCCGACAGGACTGCATTGGCGGCAGATTGGAGAGACGAGAAACAGCGCCGCGCAGTCCCAAGAGAGCCATGCATTTGTTGGTATTTACAGGAGAATCATCATTCCAGGGTTTCTTAGGTGGTGCAGGTTTTTGTCCATCCACAGTAGGATCAGAACCCCCCCAACCAAACCCCACCTGGGCTGGGGCGCCCCCGAGCCCCAGGCCGCACTTTGCAGGAGCTGGCGAAAGATTTGCAGCGCCAGCTGCAGCGGAAGGAGGCAGACGCCCAGCGGCTCACAGACCGCGTGCAGCTCGGCTAAAGCATAGCTGTGTCATGTCTTTGGTGTGACCCCAAGCCCCTTTTGGAAACAACCTGCGCTTCCGTACCTCCCAAAGGTGATCGACCTTTTGCTCAGGGGGGTTGGGCAACCCACTCAAGGAGTATGTGCCAACTGTAGGCTATGCAAACTGACTGTTATCATACTATACCCTTTTTCGGGCTTAAAAGATCTGAAAAGGGAGGCCAACGCTTTGGGGAAGCAAGCCTCTCAGATTTGAATCCAAGTCCAGCAGAATCCAAAGACAAAATCCCCGAGGCGTGTAGCTCGCACGAAAGGGAAGTTCTCCCGGATTTTGCTGCCAAATACCCACCAAAAGACCCATGAATTTCCTGGAGAGGTACCCATGCTCACTGATCCTTATGGTTGGTTGGTTAGTTGGTTGGTGGTTGGTTGGTGGTCGGTTGGTTGGTTGGTTTTTGCTTGGTTTCCCTATTTTGGGGGGTTAAAAGGGAGGCCAAAGCTTTGTAGACTTGGTCGGTTTTCTCTTGGTTTCCCTTTCCAACGGTTCCTAAAGGTCCCCCATTTTGAGAAGTACCCTTTCTAACCAATTCATGCTCGCAATTGGTTGGTTTGTTTTCTCTTGGTCTGTCATTAAACAAGCGGTGTTCCCCGTGTTTTCCCATAAAGACACAGTTTTCTATTGGTGTTCCCACCGCAAAAAAGACAGTTTTTCTCATGGTGTTCCAAATGAGAAAGTGGTTTCCTCATGGTTTCCCGTCAAGCAAACAGAAGTTGTCTCTTGGGTTTCCATGAAATTACCGGTCTACTCTCGTTTTTTTTTCCAATAAACAACATGTAAAAGAAACAGCACGGCCCAACAACAGGAGCTTCTCTTGGTTTTGCAACAAAAACAACATTTTGTTAGCACAACAAAACCAACTCTGGTGCATTTTGCTTGGCTGTTAGGACTTTAACTTTTTGCCAACTAGAACGGGTTTTCCGAACCAAACCACTAAAAGTTAAGCTCACTTTTCGCAGGGCTTCGCAGATTTCGGCCACCGAGAGACGGGCCACCCGGGGCTGTTGACACAGGCAGAAGCTTTTGGCCCTGCGGGACTCGCAGCTCAGCGAGCTGCAGGCGGAGAGCCGGCGCTTCCAGCAGGGCCTGGAGCAGGAATCGGACGTACTGAAGCGGAACTGAAATTAGCTTCGGTTACTGTAAGGGGGGTAGTGGACACCATCTTAGACTATCCATGGTTGTTGTTAGGACACATTTGCACCATTTTTGCTTTTTGGGGTTTAGTGGTTGAAATCCCCACGGAAATTGAGCGACTCAGATCCCCTGCTAAAAGTCTCACTTTTAGTGAGCGAATGTGAACCCGGGATGAAGTTAAACCCCTGGTTGATTAATCGGGGGGTGTCCCCTTTTAGTGGGGAGTTATCACTTTTGGATGTAGGATGTACGACCCGGGGGTCGGACCCTCTTGAGAACCACAATCAAAACCGATTCGGGTAGGTGAAGGCTAGTAAGGGAGGCTCCACCATGAATAGCTGCGGCCGCCTTCGCAATTCTTTACACATCCATTTGCTGAAGTGAATATGTTTTTAATGTTCCCCTGTTGGTTTAAAAGGGAATCGGTTTCACTACTGGAAATGTTTGTTTTCCAGGGGACTTAAGCAAATGGAGGTTTCGTGTGTTTTCGATGCCGATACCCGGGTATTTGGGTTTGACGAGGATGTGGTTCTTTTTGGGTTGGTAGCACTGGACCATCAGGTTAAGGATCCAAGAGACCATCCATTTTTGTTTACACCCCGTGCAGTGGGTCGGGAGGCGTCTTTTGGGGTTTAACCTTGGTGTCTCCAGAGCCATCCGGTTGCTGAGCGCCTTTTAGCTTGGGGTTTAGTGGTTGGACTTCCATGTAGCTCACTAAAAGTGAAACTTTTAGCAGGGGATCTGAGGGCTGCCCAGGTCTCCTTTCTTTGGGTCCCTGCGCAAATAGGGAATACAGGTAGCCCCTGCACAAACCTAGGTGTCTTTTGGGTGTGTCTTTTCTCGGGGACCCCCCCCCAACAAAAATGTGGCATTGTTTTCCTTCAGTTGCCGTTTTAAATCAACAACATGGCTCTCCAAGGTTTTTATCCCCGGATTTTGGACTGGGGTTTGGACCGTTTTTTGGGTGTCTCACACTTCTTGGGCTTTAATATTCTGATGCTGCAAAAAAAACAACAAAACATAAATAGAATGGATATGGAGATGAAACGAGAGTAATATGAATTCGGAGTCTTTTGGATGTCTCACTTCCTGAGATGGACTTTTTAGACTTTCTGAGTTTGGACCATTTCAGTGGTACACAAGAGGCGTTTTTCGCCATCTCATACCAGCATTTCCGCGGGCTCCCGCCTATCTTTCAGCTAGGGGAAGGCCTAGGGAAACCCAGGGATCCATGTTTGTTTTTGGACATCCAAAACGAAGCCACTGGAAAACCGTCGGGGAAAGCGAGGGATCCCATGTGAACCGGTGGAAAGGCGAAAGGGCACAAGTGCTCGAGAACAGGTGGGGAACCCAAAGATCGGCTAAAAAGCACAAGGCACAGCCAGCTGTCCCTCAAGGCATGGTATAGCTTAAATCCTGGGTAGACTAAATCTGGATTCTAATCTGATCTTCCTTTTTTTGTTTGCGTAGGCAAGTGTCGGGGCGGCAACTTCCCGACCACTGATATCAAGGCGGCATGTCGTGTGTGCCATTCCTCAGGTGCTACCTTTCGTTCGCGCTGTTCTCAAGTTTAGCCAAGGTTCCAAAGGTTAGCCATGTATTTCCAGAGTATTTAATTTGTTGCTTCCCTTCCAACGTCAACCAAGTAACCATGTATTTCCAAGTCCTTTGGGCGACTGAGAAAGCAGTCCAGGGGTTTGTGCCTCAAGTTTCGTGTCCGACTCGAGTCGACTTGGTGAGGAGGAGGTGGAGGTCCAGCGCCTCAAGGGCCGCAGCAGCGAGCTGCAGGAGGCCTTGTGCGCGGAGGTGAAAGCGCGGCAAGTCTCCGAGCAGAGCCTCAGGCGAGGAAAAGGGAAGGGCTCTTGGAGGTATGCCAGCCTTGTCCAAACAGCCAGGAGATCAACAAGCAAAATGGAGGCTTCCGACCACTAGCCATCTTTTTGCTCATTTTCCAGACCTTTATTTACCCAGACTTCCGGTAGTGTCTATCTTTCTTTTTTATCGAAATTTTGGCGAGGTGCCGATTCTTAGGCCAAAGCTGGATTTGGGGGTGTGTCGTAGGATGGGTTCATTAATCCGGGGGTTCCCATGATATGAGATTTATCTGGATGCTAAGAATGAGAGGGGTGAACCCATGTAATGTAGCAAGTGCATTAGATCCATTGCTATTTGATTCGCCGGTTTGTCATGGCCGTGTTCATATACATCGATCATTGGATCAGGGCTTTTGCTGTTTGTGGGAACCCTTTGCCATTGGTTTGAAGAGAAACATTAGCAAGACTCGACCTAACGAATAGACCACACCCGTGCCCGTGGCATTTTGTTTCATTCGGGATGGATTTCCCTTCAAATCAACAAAAAAACATATTTTCCCACTGACATGGCAATCGGGCTTCTGACTATATGGCGAGCTGGTGCGGGAAGCATACACAAAGCAGGGGGTCAAGGCTCGATTTTGCAACCAGCTGCAAGGGAACCCTCGACAAGAGCCAACCCAAAGTGTGCATGGAAATCCGGGCGTCATAGCACAGATTTCTACTTCTGAGGCCCCCACAACGCTTTATGGGATGCTCCTGGGCACATGGCTGTTTTCTCTGTTCATACAGAGGAGAGACGTTTTCCCCACTTGGGTGTTCGGCCAAGTTAGTAAGTGGTGATCAACCTAGGCTACCATCCGTCTAACTTCACTTCAAAGCCTTTTGAACCTATGAAATCAGCAGGCAATTCTAGAGGCATTGGATGTTTGTGGGTACTCGGCTGTCCGGCCGAGTTCGTAAGTTGCTAGAAACATCGGCTAAAACCTACTCGCAAGTCCCAGAAGTGGAGTTGGCAACTGGTTGTATGTCGGTGAACTAAGCCACTAGTCACGTTCTAACCTGGCGAATCGAACACCCAATAATGTTGTAAAATCTGAGCAAAACGAACATGGAACCTCCAAACTTGTCTATGTTGGAACCTCCAAACTTGTAAATTCTGAAAAAGAAAAAAAAACGAACCTGGAGCCTCCAAGCTTATTTTTAATTTTGGTGTCCGGCCGGACTTGTTCTGGCCTCCCCGGGTCTTACACCGTCCGAGTAACATTGCGTTACTCCCTGCCATCGCCTTACCTCCAACTCTAGAAGCCAGCCCCAAGAGCCAACAAATGGGTAGCCTCCAAAAAAAGACCATCGCCTTCCCTCGAATTTCAGAGACCAGCCCCCCCCCAAAAAAAACAACGCGGCCTCGAACAACGGGCACCCTGGCGAATCGGGCGAATCGGGTCCCGCAGGCGCCCCTGCGCGGAGTGCGCCGATGCGCGGCTGCAGCACACGGAGCTGCTGGCGGAGCTGCAGATGCTGCGTCGGGAGAAGGAGACGTCGGAGGCGGTGAAGCTGCAGCTGAGGAAGATGGAGTTCAACCAGGCGCTTGGTCCAGCCTGGTCGCCGCCGCGGCGGTTGTTTTTTTTCTTTCTGGAATTTAAACCAGGTGTTTTTTTTTGAGTTTCTTGATTGCTGTTAGATTGAATCTTGGCTGGTCCCCCTTGAAAAGGAGGGGGGGAGGCAGCCCCGAAAGGGATAAAATGGACACCGACACATACCATCACCTAGGTCCCCCAGTAGTGCCATTTGTTACTCCTTCTTTTTTTTGGGTTTGGGAGGGCTCCCCTGCTAAACTGGACAGAGGAAAGTTGGCACCCTTGTTCGAACCTCTCTACTGGAAGACCTAGTTCAGGCGCACACCCGTGGGATCAGAAGCGCAAGGCTTATCCAACCACTTCTCCAGAATCAGCTCCCCTTTTTGCTTTTGTTGGCTTTTCTGGGGTCCCTTTTTTGTTTTCCACTCACCAGATAGATATATACATATATATATATATATATATATATATTTGCTGGGGTCCTAATTCCAGCCAAGTTCTGTGATACTTTTGGGAATCTTCCCCCTCATGGGGGAGTTCGTCTTGGGGGAACGTTTTTTCGGCTTTTCACACCACTTTCGGTCACTTTCTTTGAAGGAAGGAGGGGTGCGTCTTTTCAACCAGGTGGGGCTTTGGGATGTTACAACCTGCAGTTGGTTTGTTCCTTTTCGCTTCCCCAGCCAACCTGAACAAATCGCCAACAGCTGGCTGAAGTTTTGGAGTTCAGTCAGACGGCTGGTTCAACCCGGTCGCCACTGCTTTCCCGAAAGGCCAGAATGGTGCTTTGGGTTTTTTCACACCACTTGTGTTTTTTCTTTTTGGCTTCCCCTTCAATCCCCAAGACGGGTATAGCAACGGTTTCCGGAGAATGGTTCTTTTCTTCTTCCTTTGCGATGCAAGGGAATGGAATCCCCACTTCCTTCTGGGGCTTTGGGTTTTTCTTGCACCACTTCCTTCTCTTGCTGGTGCTCAGCAGGGAATGTGGAAATGAACCTGGGGATTCTCTTACTGAATGGTTTATAGGGGTCATTCCCTCATTCCCTGCTGAGCACCAGCAAGCTTTTCCCACCACTTCCTTCTGGGGCGTTCGGTTTCTCACACCACTTCCTTTGAAAGAAGGAGTTGGTGACCCCAAAGCTGGGTGTTTCAAGAGTTCAGCCAGGCAGGACCTTTGCGGGTTAACCAGGCCGCGACCTTCACCAGAGTTCCGTTTCGGCCTTTAGACATGTTTGGGGAATGGACCATTTTAGTGGTAAAATAACAGGTTGGCTACTTTTTTCTGCCGTGAGTCTTCATCAGCTTCAGGTTTGCACCTTTTTAGTGGTAGTAAAAAGTGTGGGTACCTTTGCTTGGCCAATCCACTCAGGACATGAGTCATCAGTCCCCTTTTGCTCCTGCCAGGACCGCTTGCGGGACCAGCTGGTCAGCGACATGGGTGCTTTGATCGCACGGCACCAGCCGGAGCCTTCGCTTCAGGCCGAACCGCCGGAGCGCTCGAGAAAGGACAGGAGCGAGACAAAAAAATTGAGCGCCCGCCGCACCGAAACACTCGCATAATGTTCACCCCGGATTAAGAGCAACCCCTGGTTGATTAATAGGGGGGTGTCCCCTTTTAGTGGGGATTCATCACTTTTGGAGGGAACACCCCCCTAATAATGGGACGGGTTTATTAATCCTGGGTCAACATTACCGAGTTCCTGAACTTTAGTACTTTTTGGAAAGACCGCTTTAAGTGGTAGATATAAAAAAAAAGTTTGGACTTTGGCCATGCACTGGAGGTAGAATTCGAGAACCTGCTTGAATGGTTTCCATGTGCACAGGAAGCCAACGGAACCGTCCACGTTTACACATCCGAGCTCTCACCAGCTAATCGACCTTTGGACCTTTTGATGTTCCAATTCAGGTTCATGTTCAGTCAAGGTTCCAATTCACACCCATACAGTGGAAGGACAACAAAAACCTGCACCACTTCGAAACCATTTGTTGGTGCTTATGGGGAAATCACCACTCCAGGGTTTCGTAGGTCATGTCCTTTGGTTGCAAGTGAGTATTGTGTATTTGCAGGCCCTGCCCCCTGGTTTTTGACTCGGATGGCAGCAACCCGGAAAACCGCACGTGGAGGAATCTATGCAAGTGACATTAGCCTTTGTCCTGTACATTGCGAGGCATGGCCTGAGCAAAACTTAGTAGCTTCCTTATCTAGGCGCTGAATGGCACATGTTGTGTTTTCGGAAGGATACCAACAGTGCATAGCAAATTGAATGTCAACATGTCCCACACTCTTTATTCAGCACCTGTGTTTCGAATTAGTGGTTGAAGACCTTATTTACACCCTTACGCGCACAATCCGAAGTGTTGAGTGGTTTTTGTTCGGATTTCCCCCCCCCCCCCCCACCACCCGAAAACCCCCTTTCCGGTTCCCAAAGCGACCCCCAGGAAGAGGCCTGAGGCGGAAGGCCAAGTGGGGCACTGAGGCGCACTGAAGTCCGGCAGAACTGGGCTGCCGCACATCGCGCCGGCGGGCCCAGATGAGCTGAACCTGGTTCAGCTGACGCCCCCGGCGGGGGATTCGTTCTCGTGCTTGTTTTTTGTGGTTGATGTTTTGGGTAGCTAGGTTGACCAGGCGGTTGTTGCCTTAGGCATTTTTTGCATTTTTATTTCGTATGGCTTGCCTTGTTTGTTTTGTGTTGCGGGGGGAGGGGAGTTATGTTGACAAGGTGTTTGTTGTTTCAGCCTTATGTTTCTTTATGTGTTTTTGTCTACATGGACCTGAATCTGATGGGGCGCCAGCTGAGTGCCAGCTGAGGTAGATACAGGGATATCCAACTTTACAGGTGATCCTACACTTGGGGCGGAGCCCAAATGATCTGCCAGGTGAAAATAGCACTGACTTAAGCGACTCGAGACTGAAGTGACTGACTTGGGGTTAGCTTCGAGCCAAAGGCGCTCATGGGTGGAGGTACTGTGGAGGCACTCCTTCACCTAAGGAGCCAGGCTTGGATATTGATGGATGGTTGCGAAATCCATTTCTTGCCCCGTTCAGAAACCCAACGGTTTCGGATGGCTCTCCAAGGTAAATGCCAACAACGAAGGGCTTCATTCCCATGGTGTCATTTCGTTGTGTTCGAGACTCGCAACCATCCACACTTTTTACAGCCCACTGGGCCAAGGCCTGCATGCGAAGACCCTCTGACCAAGAAGGCGGCTCCCGGTCGGAAGCCGGAAGCCCCAAAACTGGGCCAAAAGGCGTAGGGGTTGGTCGGAAACGCCAAAGTGGCGGCTTTTCCTTTCGGTTTCCCCTTCTCACCAAAATGATGGTGGTTCCATCTTCTTCTTTTCGGTTTCCCCTTCAAACCAACCCAAATGGTGCTTGTTCCTTTCGGTTTCCCCTTCAAACCCACTCAAATTGCGCCGTTCCTTTCCTTCAAACCCACCAAAAGGGGAAGCTTCCCTTCCCCAAAAAGACCCACACACACACACGAATCCCATAGCGGGGGGGGCATGCCATGGAAACCCCTGTTGAAAGATGGGCTGGGTCAGAGCATCGCGTTTGAAGAATTGGTTCAGAGACCCCGTTTTTGGTTGACCCCCAACCCGCTGGTTGAGTCCGTAACGCAAAAGTTAAGATGGAGGTCAACAAACAGATCCAATGAAATGAGACAATTAGAATCATGGGGCCTGGGGGGGAGGGGTGAGGGGGAGGGAGCCCAAACAAGCCCTAAGTAAGGCCTTAATAAGGGCTTATTTGGGCTCCCTCCCCCCTCCCCTCCCTCCCCCCGGCCCTCATGAGAGAAGCTATTCCAAACATCGCCCCGGACACTTTCGGCGACAACCTGTTTGATCTGGGTTTTGGAAATGCATGGACCCTGCATTCTACGCGGCCTCAACAAAACGAAATGGAGCATGGTTCCTGTTATCCAGAGGGAAATTAACAGAGGCTGGGCATGTAATTGCGCAGGCCGCGCTACTGAACACCCTGCCAAGTGGGTTGCACGACAGTTTGGGTACTTTCTTGGGCTAGTCCACTAGGATGTGTGACAAAACATCCATATTGTGCGCATTACATGCTGCTTTTAGAGCTAAATTGTAATACATGTGAACTGATGTGCATTTGACATTCTGGAGTGTATAAGAAAGTGCCAGATAGTTGGGGCACGAACCTGGAGATGTGTGGAGTAGATATTCATACGGGCTAGGCCATCGAGGCACGATCGAGTCTGTTTGAGGCTTTGTTCGTTGCATTCCGCAGGCGGTGGCCATGATGAGACACGAGATGTCCCGGAGCGGCCAGGACGAATGGCTGAGTTGCGGCCCTTGCCGACCAACACACGCACAAACACCTTCCATTTGGTTAAGAATATGTTTTATTTTCCCCTGTTGGCTTCGAAGGGGATCTATCACTACTGGAAATATGTTGTTTTTCCAGGGGACTTAAGCAAATGGAGGACACACACGCCCCTCCGCTCGTAAACAGCCCGCGAAGCCTACCCAGGAACCGAATACAAGAGGCTACTAAATCATTACTCACTCGCTGACTCGCTGAGTTCCGCTTCGGACTTTAGAGTCACTTTTTGAGTTTGGATCATAGTGGTAAATACAAAGTTCGCACCGTTGTGTTTGGCAATCCACTCAGGGAGTGAGATTAAGCACGTTGCGCCCTCCACAGACGAGTTGCCGCTTTCAGACTGATGTAATTACCCCAGACTGATGTACAGACAAAAGCCCGGAAACAAGGCTTTCGGGAGGGGTAATTCGGGCTCACAGGCGCGAAGCAAGGGTGCATTAGGGCGGGGGCTTGGGGTTTTCAGCTGGGCGTCTTGGCGACCAAGGTGATTGAAATCAACAAGGGAGGGCAGGGTAGTGAAACTCTAAGTGTGGCCGTGCCGCCCTTTTCCCTTTTTTGCCTTTAGAAGTCTCTCCCGAAATCCCGAGTCACCTTAGTGGGGCTTAAGAGAGGGTCATTTTTTGGCATGGGCCCAAAGACACATGCATGCCGGAGGCTCCACTTCAAAGGTGGGGAAAACTTGTGAAAACAAAATACTTTAAACAGTCTTAGACTGAGAGCATTGAATCAACACAAGCCTACAACTTGCATTGTTATGCGGCCTGCCTTGTTTGTGCGCAACACTCCTGATCCTGGACGCATGCCTTCCTCCGTCGCCTGGCTTGCCGGGACCCGGCGCCCTGCAAGAACTTTGTTGCCGGGACACGGCGCCTAAGGTTGCCGGGGCCCGGCGCCCTGGAAGAACTTGCTTGCCGGACCCGGCGCTTGCTTGAAGTGGCGGGAGCTGGCGCCCTGAAGCAATTGGTTGCCGGGACCCGGCGCCCTGGAAGAACTTGCTTGCCGGGACCCCTGCAAGAACTTTTTCGCCGGGACCCGACGCCTAAGGTTGCCGGGGCCCGGCGCCCTGGAAGAGCTTGCTTGCCGGGACCCGACCCGGCGCCCTGCAAGAACGTTGTTGCCGGGAGCTGGCGCCCTGAAGAAGCCCGGCGCCCTGGAAGAACTTGCTTGCCGGGACCCGGTGCTTGAAGTGCCGGGAGCTGGCGCCCTGAAGAAATTGGTTGCGGGGCCCGGCGCCCTGGAAGAACTCGATTGCCGGGACCCAGCGCCTGCAAGAACTTTGTTGCCGGGACCCGGCGCCTAAGGTTGCCGGGGCCCGGCGCCCTGGAAGAACTTGCTTGCCGGGACCCGGCGCTTGAAGTGCCGGGAGCTGGCGCCCTGGAAGAAATTGTTTGCCGGGGCCCGGCGCCCTGCAAGAACTTTGTTGCCGGGACCCGGCGCCTAAGGTTGCCGGGGCCCGGCGCCCTGGAAGAACTTGATTGCCGGGACCCGGCGCCCTGGAAGAACTTGATTGCCGGGACCCGGCGCCCTGCAAGAACTTTGTTGCCGGGACCCGGCGCCTAAGGTTGCCGGGGCCCGGCGCCCTGGAAGAACTTGCTTGCCGGGACCCGGCGCTTGCTTGAAGTGCCGGGAGCTGGCGCCCTGAAGAAATTGGTTGCCTGGACCCGGCGCCTAAGGTTGCCGGGGCCCGGCGCCCTGGAAGAACTTGCTTGCCGGGACCCGGCGCTTCAAGCGCCGGGAGCTGGCGCCCTGAAGAAATTGGTTGCCGGGGCCCGGCGCCCTGCATGCCGAAACCCGGCGAGCTGGAAGATTGAGGGGATGCGGCCCTGTGGGCGCAGGGACCCGCCGAAAGTACTTGGCCTTGCAAATTGTTGATTGTTTGGTTTGTCACTTTTTGCACATTCAACGTGATGAATGGGACCCAGTTGTTTCTGAGTAGGTTCGCTGTCCAGAATCAATCAAGACATTGTAAGTTAGAGCAATGTCGTCGAACGACGAGGGCCACAGTCGTAGCCGGTCGTCGTCATCCTCCTCACCATCAGACGGGCCCCCGAGTTCATTTTCCACGAAGCCCCCTTGGCGCAAATTAGGATTTGGTGCAACTTGTCTATTTAGTTTCTCCGTTATGTTTTTTTTGACTTGCCCGGTTGCTTGAATACACACCAGTGACGCGCTCAGGTTGGCAGAGCGGGTTTCCTGGCAAGCCGGCCGCGGTTGTTGCGCCTACCCCGCCAGTCCCATACTTGGCCAACGACACAGACGGGGACAGCGAAGTTATGACTGTGAGCACGATCGACCCCGGAGACATATGCTCACCTCTTTCGGCCATTGAAGGCACCAACAATAGCAGCAACGACGACGAAGACAGTTCCATGACAGAGATTGTGGAGAGCGAGGGGTCCTATATCATTTTTCACCAGCGACGACAACTACACTGCGAAGAGGATGTGTCAAGCGATTTTTTTATGGTTGCAACGAAGCCAGGAGCACCCTACTGTACACCAAGCAACATCCCAGGACTTCATTGCAACCAGCCACCTAAACGGTCCTGGCAGCTGGGCCGGGGCCAAGCTGGCTGCGGGATATTTTCAGGCCAGGGACCTAGCTTCTGAATCCACAACCCTCCCTAAGAAAATCCCGCTCAGCGTTTTTCCTAGGGGGTTCACAGACGTCCACGAGCTCCCTAAGGCCTCACAGAGTCTTTTTCTTCTGGGCCATGGCTCCTTAGGGAGGGTTGTGAATTTAGCAAGCTCCCTAAAAACCTAGAGAGTTGTTTGTTTTTTTGGCCGTGGTCCCTTAAGGAGCTCACGGACGTCCACGAGCCCCCTAAGAAAAGCTAATTTCTTAGGGAGGATTTTGCATAATTTCAATGTTTTCAATTTTCCGTCAAAATGAATCAAGAAGTCTTCAAGCCTGAAATCCAAGTTTAAAAGGTAATTCAGTTGTCGGAATATCCCTGAGGTCCCCTTGATTGACTCCAAATTTTCGGGGTGATCCCAAAAGCAATCCCCGCAACTCGGCCGTTTGATCTACAATCCACAAATCCCCTTTGTGGAATGCTGGCTGTCGATGCGGGCGAACTTGTCCAGGAAATCGGATGCAGCGACGAGCCGCGAGCCAAGTTTGTTTGCAACGTTGTCCACAGCAATGAAACATTTTGAAGTTGACCCTGAACCACGCCCCAAATGAAACAATAATAAGAAACTCGGCAATCAGTCCTTCTCATCGTCGGCCACAAAAACTATGGCTGATAGCCCGCAATCCTTCTTGGCCGTCGCCAACACGAACTCTTCCATGGACACCTGCCTCCAATTGCTGCTTCTTTGGTTCGTGCATGATTGCAACACACGATGCAGTTGCATCCCCTGAAACCTTGTTGAACACCAATACTTCCTTGATGTCACTAGCGCTGTCTTGAAGGCAAAGCAGCATGTTCCCCCACAGGCATTGCCCTTCCTGTTCACAACTGCATCGATGTATTTCATGTCTGCCAACACACCTCCCCGAAGGCAGGCTGCCCATGCCAGCGGGTGAAGTTGGATTGACAAATCGTTGGTGAAGCTGAAAGCATTGATTACAAAACAATCGGCATCTACGAGGCTCTTTGTGACTCTCGGGGCACAACCTCCGGCACCATTGATTGCAGCCTGCGCATGATGTAATGGAATGTCTGTTGCAAAATAAACATGGTGCTTGTCAGGGTTGATCGGGATCATACTGTGCGTCAGCGCTTCCCTGCGCTTGGTTTCATCCTTGGCACGGTCATTCTTCAGCCCAAGCAGGTGATTCCGATGTTGCTTCGCACCCGCTTTGTCAACTGCCGAAGTCTCGTGACTGGGAAGGTGGCCATCACAAATTGCATCAAAGAAGGCCTCTTGCCGCTTCTTGGCCAGAAAATCGCGTTCAGCAGCATGCGTGTGACTCCAAACAATCTGACATTCCTTAGTGGCACGCATGGAGACGATCGCCTAAACACAGCACAGCATCAAAGAGGCGGCGCAACACCACTTTGTTCTAGACAGGCTGAGTTCAGAGCTGCTCCTGCAAGCTGGCCTCAAACATGTCACGCTGTCTTCAATCAAACAAACATGTCGCGCAGGCGCAAAATCTTTTCGCTTTTTGTTTTGCCAAACACGCACACCTGTCTTCAACTTCTTCAACTTCGGCTGACCCGAGTCTGATCAGCTTCCAAATATCTCTGGCCATTGCAATTGTAGTTTCATCAGAGGTTCGGCTGCTGCTGGCAATGAGAATCTCGCTTAGCTCTGTTTGTTCATGAAAGTGGTTCCGCCTTTTGGGCCACAACCAGTCCTGCACTCTGTGAGTTCGCTCAATGGCAGAAGCTGTGCAGCCTGTGAAGGCACCAAGTCTGGCAACTGCAGCTCGCAATTCATCATGCTGCGGGGCACAACCACCGGTCAATGCTTCTTTCCAGAAATCGAGACTTTGAAGGAGCGCCTTTGGTTTCTCTGTTGCCTTTGATTTCTGAAAGGCGGCAATGGCAGCTGGCAAGACCTTGAAGTATTGCGTCTGCAGCTTCGTCGGGTTCACCCGGCAAATCGATGCCAGTCGACGTTGACCACCATCACCCCACCGTCACCCCCCATCACCCACCGTCACCCACCATCACCATCACCCACCATCACCCACCGTCACCCACCATCACCCACCGTCACCCACCATCACCGTCACCCACCATCCCACCATCACCCGCCGTCACCCACCATCGCCCACCGTCGCCCACCATCACCCACCCACCATCACCCACCGTCACCCACCATCACCCACCATTGTTGTCGCTTGCTTCCCTTCTGTTCCGCAGGGCAAACACGGAAAAGGCTTGCAATGGCCAATGGCTCAAAGGAAGGAAACTCGGCTCGCACTGTTTGGATGGCCAGAACCACAAATGCGTTCACATGACTGAAGCAATCGCGCGGACAAAACAGTGTGCCTTCGCCACATGTCGTTCAAATATGCCAAGTCCAAGGTTAGCTTTTTGTGCAACAGTGTCATGAAACCTATGACCCACTCAACTCAACTGTGTTCCCAGGCTACTCGGCCCATTCGCATGTGCGTGGCCAACGTTTGGATCTGGAAAATCACAGCTGAACAAGGTCATGTTTATTGCCTTGTTCCATTTTGCCGCATGTTGGTTCCAGGCACCGCTGATGAACTGCGTGCGCGGCATTTGGCAACAAAATGCTAGAATGCGCAACGCCCCCCTGGTGAACCTGCAAAGCGAATCTTTTTTCAACGCAGTTTTGAAGGCACAAACTGGGCGTCAACACAAGTACATGTTAAATAGATCAAAGCGCGTCACGCCGCGTTTTCCCCCAACGCAGCCAAGCGAATTGAACTAGTTTTAATTTGGCAGAGGCGGTTCTGCATAAACACCTGTTTTGACATTTTGGGTCCAAACAGGCTTAAAACCCCGGTTGTCAAACCCCCGGACAACCCTCCGGACAGCTTTGAGGGCACAAAATCGGCGTGACAACTCGCCGGACAAACCCCCGGACAACCCTCCGGACAGCTTTGAGGGCCCAAAAGCCCGGGACAAACCCCCGGACAAACCCCCGGACAAACCCCCGGACAAACCTAGCTTTGAGGGCCCAAAAAGCCGGGACAAACCCCCGGACAAGTCTTCGGACAGGTTTGGAACACGCTAAACCACTCGGAAACCACTCGGAAACCACTCGGAAACCGCTCGAAAACCGCTCGGAAACCACTCGGAAACCGCTCAAAACCACTCGGAAACCACTCGGAATCACTCGGAGGGAAGTATTCTCGCGGGAGGGGGGGTTTGCAGCATAAATCTTGGCAAAGTGCGTGGACAACCCTCCGGACAACCCCCCGGACAACTTGCCGGACAGTTGTTTGTTCAGCAGTCTGTCCCGCACTTTGTCCGGCACTTTGTCCCGCACTCTGTCCCGCATATCGAGGGGGGTGTTTATGCAGAAGGGCATTCGTCAAGTTTTAATTAAAGACACGCGGCGACACCGGAAGTATGATTTCTGTGCGTCACTGTAAGGAAAGCCTGAACAAAAAATGGCGCGGGGGCTTGCCCCATGGCCCCCCCTTGGCTGCGAACCCTCTTTACAGAATATCCAGTCGCCCAGGCTCAGGGCACAACCGCTGGATCCTGCCCACCCAAGTTGTACTTAGCTGCCATGTTCATCCATCGCGGTGATTTTGTCGATGTCCGCCGCCAGATCTGTTGCGCTTTCCCAGGCCTTATTAATCAAAAGTTGTTCTTGGTTTCGAAACATCTATCAGCTTTCATGGAAACATCAATGGCAGACTGGAGTAACACAGTTCCAGTTTTAAGTCGTTTAGGTTGAAGAAACTAACAACTTTTAGAATATTATTATCACATCGCCAAGTTTCCGACTCTTTGAGCTTTGCCGATATCATCCCCAGCGTGACCCTGGAGTATGCTTCAGGGTTTCTGAGGATCGCCTTCATGAGCAATTTCTTCTTCAGCTTCTCAGTCATGACTGGCATGGCGTTGGCTGCTGTTACTTACCGTAGTAGGTAAGCCAGTGGCAGCTGCAGGCAGGACAAGTCACGCGCTGGGACCCGGCGCCCTGGAAGAACTTTGTTGCCGGGACCCGGCGCCTACTTGCCGGGACCCGGCGCCCATTGCCGGGACCCCGCGCCCATTTTGCCGGGACCCGGCGCCCTCCAACAACTTGATTGCCGGGACCCGGCCCTGGAAAGAACTTGGCTGCTGGACCCGCGCCTATTTTAGACCCGGCGCCTAGCCTGATGGGACCAACAAACAACCAACGCTTGCTGCTTGTGGTTGCAACCTGGGCACCGGGTCCCGGCAACAAAGTTCTTCCAGGGCGCCGGGTCCCGGCAAGCTAGGCGCCGGGTCCCGGCAATTAATTTCTTAATTTCTTGAAGCGCCGGGTCCCGGCAAGCGAGGGCGTCGGGTCAAAGCAAGTTCTTCCAGGGCGCCGGGTCCCGGCAAGCCACCCGGCAACCAACTTCTTCCAATCAGCGCCCGGCAAGCCAGGCGCCGAGGAAGGCATGCGTCCAGGAGTGTTTTGTAAAAACAAGGCAGACGGCATAATTATGTAAATTATAGGCTTGTGATGATTCAATACTCTCAGTCTAAGACTGTTTAACGGCTGTTGTTTTCATAAGTTTTCCGTGGACCTGAGTTCTCACCATTGAAGTCTGAGATCCTTGCACGGATATAGCGGAACTTTCAACACCCTCTTAAACAAAAAGTGCCCCCCAAACAACGGCAACATAATATTCCCTCCAGCCACCACCGCTACAACCACCACCGCAACCACCACCAACCACCGCACCACCCACCACCACCCACCCGCCACAACCCCACCACCCACCCGCCATCACCCACCATCACCCACCGTCACCCGCCATCACCCACCATCACCCACCATCACCATCACCCACCATCACCCACCATCACCCACCGTTCCCCACCGTCACCCACCATCACCCACCATCACCCACCATCACCCACCGTCACCACCTACACCATCACCCAGACCCACCATCACCCCCACCCCACCACCGCCACCGCCCCGCCCACGCCCGCCGCCGCTGCCGCCGCCACTCCCGCTCCACCACAGCCGCCCCCCCCCCCCCCCCGCCACCCAACACAACCACCACCACCACCACCACCACCACCACCACCACCACCACCACCACCACCACCACCACCACCACCACCACCACCACCACCACCACCACCACCACCACCACCACCACCACCACCACACCTTGTCTACGCGCGACCTTGCAGGACAAGCCTTGGCGCAGCCCCCGCAGCCCCCGGCGCTTCGGCTCCAAAGACCGCAGCCCCTCCAAAGGCCGCAGCCCCTCCAAAGGCCAGCCGGACGCGCCGCATGCCAGCAGAGGAACGCTTCTCAAAATGGAGCTCGTTTTAGCTAGGAGACCAAAAGGAAATCAACCGGAAGTTAACGCAGTTGAAAGTTTTAGTTTGTTTGAAAAACAAGCAAAGTATGAACACTGAGGTTCTTATATTTTTGTTGATACCTGCTTCACACCGCCCGTGCCGATCATCAGGGGCCATTTAGCTTTGGGAAGAACAAGACCTCATTTCATGTGAAGGCTTCAGCGAATAGGCCCTTCTGAATAGACAGCTTCGCACCAAATTCAGATCTGGCGCCTGCCTAGTGCCAGGCCATCGCTGTGCCAGTGCTGGGCCTCTCCAGGGAGGCCTGTTTGGCGGAACTTTTCAGATCCAAACTGACTGGCATGGCTAGGAACAAGCAAAGGCCCTTTTTAAGAGCCAAGGTACTCGGACTGCGAAGAGGGGCATTTGAAAGCAAGGCTCCATTAGCCATGTGTTTGACACACCCAAGGCTTAAACCCATTGCCCCGTTGGGAAATGGACGACTGATCCCGGACGCTCCGCCCAGATTCTCGAATGCAGGCCTGAGCAGCAACACTGGGGTCTATTAGTCCAATGTCCTCAGTGAAGCCATGGGTTCAACAAATTCGCCGAGTGCACGTTCGACATGTGTTGGTGGAGCAAATTGTGTCAAAGCACGGTCGTAGATGGATGTAGCTTACAGCCGGCATAGGTTGGGTGTCCACTACCCCAAAACCACTAGCCCCAGGAGAAATTGGCGTATCCCCACTCAACCCTTGAAATTAGCTTCGGTTACTGTAAGGGGGGTAGTGGACACCATCTTAGACTATCCATGGTTGTTGTTAGGACACATTTTGCATTTTTGCTTATTGTGGTTTAGTGGGAAGTCCCGACCTAACGTTTTTTTTTCTCCCCTTCCAACGTCAACCAAGTATTAGCATTGGAGGTCGATCAGTTCGACCACCCCAAATCACCGCCAAACCGCCTGGCCACCTCATTGCGGCAGGAGCTCATACGCACAGCAGCCAGGCCCCTTCTCCGGGCAGCTCCCTTCGCGGAGCTTAAGACTCGTTCCTTGGGCGGCCCTAAATGGGCACCCTTTTTCATTTTTTTGGGTGGCTGCCCCACCAAAAATGGTCTTCCCCAAACAGGGTTCTCGGTTTTTTCAGGGTCACTGAACAACTGTGATATGAGCAACTGTGATATGGGTATGGGTCGAAATTAAACCACCTGGATTTGGACCAAGGGACCGCAGGTCTGGGTCCATGTTTCCATTTACCAAGATTCCATACACGGCCAAACGGATTCCAAGAAATGGCCGTGGTTGTCAAAAGCGTTCCGGAATCCCGTGGTGCACCACCCGGGGATTTTAGTGGGGATTGGGATGTTCACTGGGGGTACGGGGTTTGACCCATGGCCAAATGAGTACCCCAACTTGGGCACTTCTTTTTGTAGCTGGTTCTACTACTGGCAGAAATTGGGAAATGGTTTTGGGCATTGCTCAAATGGCTTCTAAGATGCTGCATGCATGATTGTCTGTTGACGTAGGCTGAAACCTGTTAAACCGCCCAGTGCCATCGGAGTTCAATTGAGCCAGCTTTAGGGGAAACGACCCGTTCTTGTCAGGATTGTTTGAGCTTTCCAAACCCTCAACATCCAGAGGGAAGGCGTAGTTTGGAACATAAAGACCATCAATTCTGGGGCGATGCCTTTGACACTGGCAGTGCTTGCTGCGTGCCCACCGCTGCGTTTTCCTAGAGCTAGCGATCAGAAAGCGAGACGCTAGAATTGCAGCCAAGACCTATCTCGCCACAAGACTCCAACCGCTTCGCAGGATGCGCCCAGTGAAGAGACCGTTTTCAATTCTTACACCAGCAGGCAGGCTCGGCGGTTTCCACTCATTCTTCGTCGCTGAGCGATGACGCACACCCTGCCTTTGCAGAAGGCCAGACGCGGGATGACTGGGTGCAAAATAGCCTCCAAAATAGAAGTTCCCCTCAAGACCAACAGGGCTTCCCCAGAATTAGCTCCCCTTTTTGCTTTTTTGCTTTTTTTTGAGGTGTTCTTTGTTTTCCACTAACCAGGCAAAATGGATATTTTTGTTGCTGGGGTCCTAATTCAAGCCTGGGGATGTGGATTGGCCGTGGGACCGGAACAGCTCCAGGCCAAGGGACCCTTCCCACGTTGTGGCGCTAAGACGATCCATTGAAGAGGAATTTAGAAAAATCCGGGTTTCCTCCCGCGGATGCGGAACGTTTGTGGGAGGAAGGGTACCCTCTTCCCAAATTGTCCACTTCCAGAGTTGGGAGGGTATGTGTTGTCTTCATGTGGCTGCTAAGAAGTTTAGACCTTTCAAATCCTTGGATTTGAAACCGAGTTCGCAGCACGCACCCGAAAACATCTCGGAAATGCCAAACATTCTCACCCGTTGGGTGTGTCTCAACGGAAGTTGCTGTTTTTGGAAAATGTTGCAAAGACATTTTCCGGCCACAGACAACCCTGCTGGTGCGAGTGGGGAATGAGAAATGGAATGAAACTGAGCCTGAAGGAAATCACCAGTTGGATTGCTTTTCTCGGGGTCATTCCATGTAAATCATATCGCACCGATCGCAAGTTTTTCGGAACCGAAACCACAAAGCCAAAGGAGTGTTTCTTTGATTTTGCCTTTTCCAGGGGCCAGCTTTCTACCAGAGGACTTTGGGGATTTGGTAACGCTGCAAAAGGGGGTGTGTCCTATTTGTTTGTGGGTTTCATTTTTCGGCTGGTTTGAGAATTGAAACCAACGTGGCACCGTGCACCTCCACCCATCCGGAGCTCCAGTGCGTGCTCCAAGCCGCCGTAGGTGCCGCTTCGCTCAGACTCCACGCGTGCGTCGCTCTCCATCTCGCGGCCGAACACTCCTGGAGAGATCAGGCGCTTTGGCCGTTTTTGTCCCTTTCACCCAATAACGAAGACGCCCCAAATATTAATAAAAATAATATAATTTGATATAATATAATATAATATATATATATATATGTATATCTATGTTAGGCGCTTTGGTTTTAATCCCTTCTACCCCAATAATGAAGGTGCCCCTAATATATGTTTAGGGGGGAGGAAGACTAGGGGGAACAGGATTGACCGGGTCTATGCGTATATCTGGCTCCAACTCTCAAAAAGGCGAGCGTTTTTGGGGTCCAATCAAAGCCTTTTGGTGGAGGTCCTCCCTGCAATGGAGATTCAATGATGCTGGGCGGGGGGTTGTGAAGTCCCCCTTGCCCACCTTGCAAGCGAAACCAAAAGGAACCTGGAAATCCGTATTAGGATTGCCCAAATCTCCCCCCTGACTGGGCGGGTCAAGTTTCCTAGAGACTCGTAAAATAATGACCATTTCAGAGGGCACACGCCCTTTGCTTTTCCAATGGAAACTGTTGAGAAACCTGGAGGTCGACTCTGGCAGTTATAAATTTATGGGATTTCCATGGCCTGGGCTACAGTTCAATCGCCCGTGTTTTTACCGAATTGTCCTTCAAGCGGAAGCCGACAGGGCATGGGTAGTTATGTGTGTTCCTTTCCACGATGGATTTCTTCAGACTCCAAAAGGCTTCCTTTTTGTCTAGATCGCCGGTCTTGAACCAGTTCGCCAAAGGTCTCGTAGTTTGACTGCGGCACGTGTCAGAACCGGGTCTAGGTTTCACGTTGATGGACGCAGTGCACCAGTTATTGTTAATCTACATGACATGGCGCTGGCTTTGGTCTTTACCCTCCCTCAAACTAACAGCCGGAAGCTCCCTGAATTGGCCTCTGCAAATGGGTTACCAAGTCCTCCAAAGGTGTCCTCCGAGCTTACATGGAATCGCCTGGGTAGGTGTTTGTTTCTACCATACCATGGATAGATACCCGGTAGTTTTCACCGCCATACCCTCCTGATTCTGATGCATTTGTTCGCTTCAGTTGCACCCTCTGTAGGCAACACATGGCACAGGCTATGAATGCGGGCGAGCTCTGGGTAATACGTAGGACGCAGGTCCCTGGGCATTCCCTTTGCTCCCGATTTGGGAGCTTTCATTTGCTTGAGAACATGATTTATGTTCCCTTGCTGCTGATTTCAAAGGGAGTCTGCCACTACTTGAAATATGTATATATATATATAAGCAAGGTACCCCCCCCCATGAACCCTAGTTTGGTGCGGTTGACCTGCACTTTTCCTCTGTTTTATGCCTTTTTTTGCTTCTTGGATTTTGTGTCAAATTAGGGGGTTCCATATTTTGCATGCATACAGATGTGACACAAGCAAACTGTTTTTTGTGTGCTGGAGCCGGGGGCTGAAGCAAATGGAAGGGGGCTATGCAATTTGGCTGGCTTGGTGAGTTCCCCTTTCGGCGTGCTCCATCCCAAGTATGTTTTATTTCCCTTTTTGGTTCTTTAAAAGGGAATCGATTTCCCTACTGGATAAAAACACAAACATAATTACGTTTTTCGCACCGAAGGGGTCGCTGGTTGCGACGACATGCTGAGGCGAGTGTCGCGACCAGGGTCGTCATCGGTGAGAGGATCTGGATCAGCCAGAGGAGGTGCCAAGCCCAGCTGTTGATTGCAACTAAGTCCCCCAGCTAGGTGCCCTTTTACCCTTTTTTTGGGGAGGGTTCCCCTACTAAAATAGACTACAGAAAAACGGGTACCCTTATTCTATCCTCTCTACTGGAGGACCTCGGCAAGCTGGCACGCGTAAAGAGTTGCAAAGAACTAGTTTGGTTATTTGTTTGGCCTGTCCACTCGATCGGAAGTGAGTTTCAATCCACCAAAAAACGAGGGTACCCTGGAAAAAAAGAAGACACCCCCCTCCCCCCCAAAAAAAACCGCAAATTCTTGGTTTGCATTGGTGGTCTCACTGCCTGAGTTTGTACTTTTTGGGCTTGGACCAGTTACCACTTTATCGGTGACCAGGGTTTCGCTGGTCACCAGGGCTCCTAAGCCTCTGCACGGCTTCCCTTACTGAAGATTTGAAGATGGACGCGAAATCCCCGGTTTCGGAACCACCGTTCAGCAACCCAACGGTTTTTGATTTCTGCTTCCCCAAGGTAAGTATACCAACAAGCGTGTTGGTTTCATTCCCATGGTTGCTGAACGGTGCTGCGAAATGGATTTCGCAACCATCCACAGTAGGACACCTTCGTAGACCTGTGGTTTGAGTAGACCTCCCACTTGGGGGGATCCTTTTTTCTCTTGTTGGGACCCCCTCTTTCTCCGCCAGGTGGTGGTAACTCGATCCAAACCCCTGCACAAAGCAGGACAGGTTCCATTTTGACTATCCCAAGGCAGACTGTCACCCAAAGATTGACTACCGTTGGGAAATGAACCACCCCTTTGTTGAAGTCTCCCTTGGGGTGAGGAAAAACAGTGGAATCAGTGGATTGCCGTTTGGGAGATGAACCGCTGGTTTAAGTCTAGCCGGAGTGGCCGAAAAGTCTAAGCCGGAAACAGGCTCCTTTCCCGCTTTTCGCCCACTCCTCGTTTCGGAAAGGGCTGGTCTCGGTTTGGCATCCTCTCCACGTGGGACACATGAGAATTCAACCATGCCCCCTATTGGAAACACCGGGTGTATGTTGAACAACCGGGTCCCGGCGTCCCACTACAATTTCATTCTGTTTTTCGTCATGTGTTGAAATACTGGGATAGTCAGATCTGCCGAATGTTTGCACTGGATGTTTGTTGACATCCCCCCTTTTTGAGGGAACGGGTCTCCGAAAGAAAAAGAAGGGCCCCCACCCACAATTCCTCTGGTTTACTAGTCTTCCCCTTCAATTGCTTGTCTTTACTAGCTCACCTTGATCGACAAATTTAAAGCGAGCCTTTGACTATCTGGGCTTAATCAACTGGCATGTTCGGGTCCTACGGCGAGTGAGTGTGGGCTTCTTCCATTCGCTGTCTAGTCCGAATGAGACCCGTCATGTTATTTGGTTGACGGTTCCATGGTGGAAACTTCGTTTTAGGATCAGTTTGCACGTTTGGCCAAGGAATCTTGAACAACTCTGATATCACAGGGACGGCCAAGCATTTCCCCAAACCATGTGAGTTTGTTTTAAACATCCGGATACGAAGAAATCCAACTAACTTATCCATTATTAATCAGCTATTGCCGGGCTATCGCTGAAAAAAGGATGAGATGAGACAGACACACGCAAAGGGCGTCCCGACCCAAAGCCTAGGTATCAACCATGCAAGTCCTCGACCACTTTGTGGGGTAATGAATGGTAAGCTTGTTCAGTGGGCAACACCCAGCTTGACCAGCCTTGTCCTTTTTCCAGCAATCATGGAAGCTGGCAGGGTTTTGGAGTTCTTGACCAAGTGGTTGGAGTTCTCGGCTTTTGGAGTTCTCGATGCTTTCTACCTGCAAACTACGAGACCATCGCAATCGAAGATTCCAAGACCAAGGATGCGGCCCAGGCCCGCGGCAGAGAAACCAAAACACTCAGACAAACCCTGGTGTGATTTTGATGTCCGATTTAGAAGGCTGGTTGGTGTTGATTGGGGGGCTAGGTCCCCCAGCTAGGTGCCCTTTTACCCTTTTTGGGGGGAAAGGTTCCCCTACTAAAATGGACTACAGAAAAAGGGTACCCTTATTCTAACCTCTCTACTGGAGGACCTAGGGGATGTTCCATATCAGCTAAGACTCTTGGACCGGTCCCCACACCTCGAAGCCGCCAGGAGCCTCCGGGGCCTCCTTGTCCTTTCTTCCCCCCGAGCCGCCGCGCAGCATTTCGCCCAACTGGCAGGCGCCCGATTTGGAGCCCGCAGCGACTTGCTGTCGGAAGCTTTTTTTGTTTCTTCTTCCCCGTTTGGGGTGGGTTGTTTTTAATTCACAGCTGGCGGCTTGGTTTTGTGTTGCTGGCTTCTTTAATAATGGAATCATTTTTTGTTGGGCGGGGTGGCCTCGCACTGAAAAACACGATCCCGTCACGATCCCCTTGTTCCAACCTTTTCTTGGGGCAGGCCCCTTCAAATCAACTGCGAACAAAAACAAGTGCCAATTATGTTCTATTTGCTGTCCATGGAAATTGGGTGGTCTGTCGCGAAACCTTGAACCCCCCCCTGCCCCAAGTTTCACGTTAAAAAGAAGTCAAGCGGAAATGACTTGAGTGGAATCTATATAGAGTCGCTTTGGGGTCGGAAAGGTCTTGGGGGGGGGATTCTTTAATTGAGCACGCAATGGGGTCAACTTGTCAGCCCAAGCGTTTGTTTTCCAATGCGCCCCGAAGAAATAGAGGAGGGAAGGTCCTTCACAATGAAAACACGTCCAAGCCAGATTGTTTGCTTTCAGGAAGCCCCAAATGAGGAACAATAAGCCAGCTAGATGAAAGGTTAGTACGGGAGAGTTCCCTTGCGTGGCAAACACCGTGCCATCAACATATTCATGGATATTTAGCGGGGGGAGGGTGATTGAGTGACTGAGACTAGTTCCTGCGCATGAACTTCGTGACTTCTGAAGTGAACCAATGTCGCAAACAAATGACTTCTTCTCCACCTCTCGGACCACTTCTGGGAGTAAGACTCCCAACTTTTCCCCCGGTCCATTTCTAGTCAACCACAGGCTCACTCCCTGAGCTGGACTTTGTTATTTTTGGGGCTGGACCAATTTATTGGCGAGCCAAAAGTGTGGTTACTTTGTTTGGCCAGTCCACCCGATCGGAAGCAATATTAACTCCACTAACAATAGGGGTACCTGGACAAAAGACACCCCCCGATTGGTGGTGTGGATTGGTTGGGTGGTTTACAAGCAAACCTTCCAGTCAAAAGAGGGATGTCAACAAGTTTCAGTGGAACCCAAAAAAGGGTGTCCTTTTCACTTCAAAAAGCTGACAGCCGCCCGGCGAAGCCTCGGGCGCCAGGCTGAGGCCGTTTTTCCCGGCCAAGTGCCGTCGGCGTCTTCGCCCCGGCCGTCGGCTTCGCCGCCGCCGCCTCCGCCACCGCCGGCGGAGGAGAGGGAGGACAGCCAAAGGCTACACGACTTGGTGGCTCCAGGCATCCCCTTAGCTTTTAGGTTTTTAGCTTTTTGGTGTTTAGTGGGGTGTTCCATTTAGCCCACTGAAAGTTTATTTTTTAGAGGGGGATCTGAAAACAGCTCAGATAAGAGTATTTGGATGTGTGTCTCTTGTACTCACTTCCCGAGTTCCTGGACTTTAAGCCTTTTTTGGAAGACAGTTTTTACGGGTTAAGAACAAGTTCTGACATTGTTGGCCCATCAACTCAGGAAGCCAAAATTACGGCACCCCTAAGCTGTGGTTTTCTCATGGTTTTCCGTGAAAACCACAAGCAAAAGTGGACCTTCCAAAAGGACATGCTGCCCAGTGGTTCGCGATTCGAACTTGGTCTCCACTTAGGTTTATAAGATTTTTTACATACGCACACACACACACATGCACACATGCACACATGCACACATGCACACATGCACACACACATGCACACATGCACACATGCATACATGCATACATGCATACATGCATGCATGCATACATGTATACATGCATACATGCATACATGCATACATGCATACATGCATACATGCATACATGCATATATGCATACATGCATACATACATGCATACACACATACATACATACATACATACGTACGTACGTACGTACATACATACATACATACATTCATACACACATACATACATACATACATACATACGTACGTACATACATACATACGTACGTACATACATACATACACAAAACCGGGCACCCACGCACGAACGCACGCAGGCATGCATGCATGCATGCATTCGTACATTCATACATTCATACACTCATACACTCATACACTCATACACACATACAAACATACACACATACACACATACACACATTCATTCATTTTTTCATTCATACCCTCATACATTCATACATTATCATGTTCATACATATACATATATGTATATTATATCTGTATTACATGCGGTACGTGTATACATATGTATATATATATATATATATATCCGTCTATATGCATAATTTACACATGTAGCAACGGGATGCTAGGGCTACCCCGAAAATGCTTGGACTTCCGGGTGACAACAGCTCCCGACCTTCAGGACCAAACGCTAGATCATTTCCCCAGCCGGGGGGAGGCTGGGCTACACGCCGGGAGCTGAGTGGAGTCGAGAGAAAACGACTCGCAGGGATATGGATGGAGGACCAGGTGTCAGGGATTTCCTTTGGGAGGCCCAGTCAAGTCTAAGGAGATTGGTAGCTCAAGGTCTTCCATTTTCCTGCCCTCCCCTGTTTCTGCTGATTTGTTCTGCAAGTGGGGCTCACTGACCTTTGCGCGTGTCACTTGAAGTAGAAAGCATGGCATGTTCTCTTGGGGTTTCTTCCTCAGCACTATACCGCTTTGTAAATCGAGCGTGTGGGTGGCCTGACATGATAAGAATAAGGGCCACAGAAGGCATATTCGTCTTGTGGTGCCCAGAAAAGCATACGTCCTCTTTTTCCTTGATGAGTTGGCCGTTGCCATGATTCCTGCTTCCTTCTGCAAAGGATGTGCTCGAACTTGTCAGCTGTTTAGACTGGGGCGTGCAAGGTGACTTTTTCACCCCGTTGCTCTTTAAACTCAGGTATCCCTGATTCTTGTGGGTAGATGGGAAACCACCAACGCCAAACCACGGGAAACCACTAATTAGAGGGAAGCTCATAAACAGTGGTTGAAGGGCTTCCCACCCAAAAAGTAACTTAACGAAACATTAAGGCACCCGGAGTAATGTTGATTGAACATGAAGGACCTCCCCAGTTATTCATCAGGGCTTTGCTCCATTGAATGGTTCAACCATGTGGCCAAGGTGTAAAGGGAACCCATGCACTGCAACATGCAGCAACCTACCAAAGCTCGGGGGCATGAGGTCGGACTACCGCATCCGGATGCATGTCGGACCGCTTTGGTATACAGTTCAGCATGGTTCTGGTTGTACTGTTGTACGCTAAGGCAATGTTTGACCCTGCTGCCAGAGTCATGAGAGTATAGTTGATAGCACTTGGATTGCGGTTGGCTATATCCGTCAATGTGTAGGGTTGTTTAGGTGTGTTTGCGTGCTTGTTTGTGCGTTCATTAGTTTTCGGCGTTTGTATTTGGGTTCGGTCTCTATATTTCTCTTTGTGTTGTCTTTGCCTCTCTGTGTTTGTGTGCCTGTGTGTGTAAGTGTGTGTGTGTGTGTGTTTATTGTGTTTGTGCTTCGGTGTCCGTGTGATGCGTGTGAGTGCGTGAGTGCGGGTGTCGACGTGTAAGGCAATCCAGCGGATTGGTTTGGAGATTTGAAGCCGTCTTGTAGAGGGCCAGGGGAAACCTCAAACCTCCAAACCACCAGCCTCCAAAGCCAGCAGGAGGGAAGCCTAGCTGCAACGTCCGGAGGGAAGCACGAAACGCGCAAGAGCCGCCTGGCCCAGGTCACCATAGGACGCCGGGAGTTTGGCGACGGCAACGACCTCTCGGACGAGGAGTAGCTCAGACGCACACGAGATAGACACGAAGCAGCATGGATCCTCTTCCAACCCAGTTGCAACCACTGGATTCCGCCCCCTTTTTTTTCTCCATTTTTGGTGGGAAGGGTTCCGATTCTTGTAAACTCAGCCAACCAAAAAGGATGCCTTTTTTATTGTCCGGTGACTTGTAGTTGTGATTTTTTTCTCCGGGGTTTAGGCCTGGCTCAATTTTTGCATGCCAATGCTGCATGCCATGTGCCAACTTGACTCAGTTTCATACCGCACGGCCTTTTTACGCCAGGCCCTCTCAGGCTGTACCCCTCGATTCAGGAGTCTCAGGGTTGCGCACCTCACAATTGGCCAACCTGGCCGGACATTTGGAGGTCCAAAAGAACTTTCCTCATCCAGTTACCAATATGGTTCAGGTAACCCTTAGATAGTGGTTTGGATTGATGGTAACCACCAAACCACCAAACCTCCAAACCACGAATTAGAGGGAAGCTGAATGGTAACCGGGGGGGGGGGCAAAAGGCAGAAAGCTTCAGGTTTTTTTAGCTCTCTCACCCAAAAAGCTTTAAAAAAAACTCAAAGTTTTCTGCAAACTCAGAGGTAGCAAGCCCTGGTTCCCCGCTGTGCCTAGCACTGGGTTTGCTTTCAGGCCGCCAGCCCCCGCCTGGAACGCCGGGGGCTGAGATGCTGTGGGTTGGGGGATGGGTTGGGGGTGGCTTGGGGGGAAGGGGTTGGGTGGATTAGGCATCGTAGGCCTTCTCCAAAAACCTTCCTTTGGAAGGCCCAGATTTGTTCAGCGCTTTTCCACGCCTTGCCTCTCAGTCCAACTCCCCCTGCACCCAACCCCAGCCGACCCCAACCCCAACCCAACCCACCCATCCCCCAGCCAATCCCTGGCTCCGAGACACCGAGGCTGCCTCCTGCACTCGCGGCCTCAAGGGCGTCACCAGCCTCAGCATGTCGGACAGCACCTGGGCGATCTGGGGTATATCCAAATAGGAAGCTAAGGCCTTCTGGAGCTGGTTCGGCACATGGTCTTAAAGACGTTGTTCAAAACAAATGTTTGTGAAGCTGCTTAGTTTCAATGCCAGATGTGCGCCACACACGCGAAAGGCGCACAGAGGAAAACGCTCCTTCGGCAGACGACGTTTTTTGCGTTGAAAAGGGCGCTTGTGCAAGTTAGCAACGTTTGCGCACTTCCGGGTTTGGCAGGGGTGATTTGGAGCGGCTTTGGCCGGTTCCGGAGCCGGGGTTCCAGTGGTGCGGATGAGTGCTGAATGTAGCTGTTTGGCGGCATGATGCTTAGGTTGGCAATAATTACGGGGTGCCATCTAAACACCTCCGTTTCGATTGAAAAGAATCTCCCCCTTCCCGAATCTCTGCCGAATGTGTGGCCCTTTTTAATACCCATACCGCCGGTGCCCCCCAGTTGCTTGTCCAATCAATGGCTCGGCTTGAATATGGGATGGATAGCCATGGGCTCATATATGGTGTCCTTTTTGTGGTGCCAAGGGTAAAGCCGAGGGACAAAACATTTGTATGAGAAAAAGTTGACACGGAAACCTAGGTCCCCCAGTAGTGCCCTCCCCTTTTTTGGTTGGGAGGGTTCCCCTACTAAAATAGACTGCAGAAAAAAGTTGGTACCCTTATTCTAACCTCAAACTACTGGAGGACCTAGCCATCCACTCTGGAAGTGAAGACCTGTGGATGGTTGCGAAAAACACGCTTCTGGAGGACCTAGAAACTAGGGAGAGAGCGCAACCAAGAAGTGAGGTATGCTGTCCGCGGCGCTGGAGCAAAGTCAGCTGCTGGGCACTATGAGCTCGCCCTCTGCAGTGCGGGGCTCTATGACATGGGCGCCTGGGCGTTTTTTTGTTGTCTGTTTTTGTTTAATGTTTATGTCTTTTTCTGGGACACGGAATCGGAAGAGGAAAGGCTTCTGTTGTCCTTAAGGGGTCACTGAGTGCAAAATCTGCCTGGGTGAATTTCAGGATATTTCCGCTTGGGGCAATAATTCCAAGGGCGCATATAGGGGTGTTTATTCTTTTGATGGCACCTTTTTGCGTGACCATGTTGGAGGGTCCCTTGAAAAAAACATAGCATAGGGCACCAATCAGCAGACACCCGAACAATCATCGAGAAGCTCCAAGCCGGTCCATTGGTTAAATCAAATAGGATCCACTGCTTTTCAGGGTCTCGAGATGTTCTTTCTATGCCTGCCCAAAGCGAACTGATGAAACCTTGTGATTTCATGGTGGGTTCCCAAAAATGGTCTTCCCCAAAAAAGGGTTCCCTTCTGATTCCAGGGTCGCTGAACACCTGAGTTGAGCCATGCATCCTGTACGGGTCGTGGTTTGGTTTGCAGAAGGTGAACTTCAGGGCCCTAGCTGGTCCAGTTGCCAGGTACTTGGGTCAATTCGAGTGAGTGGTTGGCAGTAGGGAAACCTCATTTTGGGGGGGTCCCCAATGAGAGACATATGTCATACCAAATTAACAGGAAACTAGATTCAAACCCGATTTTGAGGTTTTTTTTGGCTTACCAAATTAGCATGCTTACCAAATTAACATGGAACTAGATTCAATCCGGCTTTTGAGGTTTTTTGGGGCTTACCAAATTAACATGGAACTAGATTCAAACCCGCTTTTGAGGATTTTTTTTGGCTTACCAAATTAACATGGAACTAGATTGAAACCCGCTTTTGAGTTTTTTTTTGGCTTACCAAATTAACATGGAACTAGATTGAAACCCGCTTTTGAGGTTTTTTTGGGCTTACCAAATTAACATGGAACTAGATTCAAACCCGCTTTTGAGGTTTTTTGGGGCTTACCAAATAAACATGGAACTAGATTCAATCCCGCTTTTGAGGTTTTTTTGGGCTTACCAAATTAACATAGAACTAGATTCAATCCCGCTTTTGAGGTTTTTTTGGGCTTACCAAATTAACATAGAACTAGATTAAAGCCCGCTTTTGAGGTTTTTTAGGTCTTACCAAATTAACATGGACCCAGATTCAAACCTGCTTTTGGGGTTTTTTGGGCTTACCAAATTAACATGGAACTACATTCAAACCCGCTTTTGGGTTTTTTTTGGGCTTACCAAATTTACATGGAACTAGATTCAAACCCGCTTTTGAGGTTTTTTTGGGCTTACCAAATTAACATGGAACTAGATTCAAACCGGCTTTTGAGGTTTTTTGGGCTTACCAAATTAACATGGAACTAGATTCAAACCCGCTTTTGTTTTTTTTGGGCTTACCAAATTATCATGGAACTAGATTCAGACCCGCTTTTGAGGTTTTTTGGGCTTACCAAATTAACATGGAACTAGATTCAAACCCGCTTTTGAGGATTGTTTTTGGCTTACCAAATTAACATGGAACTAGATTGAAACCCGCTTTTGAGTTTTTTTTTGGGCTTACCAAATTAACATGGAACTAGATTCAAACCCGCTTTTGAGTTTTTTTGGGGCTTCACCTAAGCGGATTAAAGCCCAAGAGGCTAACCTCTTACTCTGGCCGAGCGTGCGAGTAAGTAAGGCGTTGAGGGGCTTACGAAGGGGCCCGTTTGTTTGCGCCGGCAACCTCTCTTGAGTGAGCCCATGGCTCCATAGCACCCGACCGGCCTGGGGTGTGACATTCAAGTGCTCAAAGGGCTTGCTTTTCAAGTGATAAGTGAGTCACAGAGGCATCCCAGCCTAGGTTCCCACCATTCCTGCAGATTCTCTGGATGAAACAAATCCCAAGCCTCCCCACTTCTTGTTGCCACCCAATCTGTTGGGGTATCCAGCTGCTTGTCCCGACAGGTGCGGGGAGAGAATCTGGGCAGCTTGGCCAAGAGAAGGGCAGCACAGGTGGAACCCGTCAAACCCCCACGTTTTTGCAGCTAGGAAGCGGTGCAGTAGAAACGCGGGGGGGTTCCCCAGAAGAAAGGTCCAAGAGGCCGTTGGCCACAGCTGGACTTCGCAACCTTGACCCTTGCGACTGCCAAATTCTTTCGTTCCCAAAATCGAGGACCCCCGGAGTTTCAGGTTTTTGCGGCGACCAGTGCTACGATTTCCCGAATATCCAGGCAAAGGCGGAAACTACGACGTGATTTTTGTTCAGGAGGGCGAAGGTCCAAGGCTGCTTATGAACATGGAGGGCCCTTCTACAAGTGATCTGAACTCGAAGCCCCACACGAAAATACATCCCGATCTGAAGCGGGGTGTTGGAATCCGGAGTTAACATTCACCCTGTGGTTTGGTGAGTTTGAGGTTCGGAGCAACCCTCTTGGTTTTCCGTCAACATGGCTGCGGGAATTGCAAGCACGTACTGGGTAAAGGGGCCTTGAAGTGGTGTTGACATATATAAATGTTACCTCCGGATTGGCAACCCCTATTCCTTGATATGGGGGTGTCCGTGGTTTCATTTGAGTGTGGGGTTCAGACCACGTTTGGAGGGCTTGACATGCGTGGCTCAGCTTCTTCTAGTGGACCCGCAAAGTGGTGTTTTCGTTTTGGTGTCCCTAAACACAGACCAAAAAGGGGAAACAAAAAGACCAAGCCACATGAACCTCCTGGGGTGAGTGGCTTCGGGATCGGCTCTCGGCTAATCGGTGAGGTCGGGGCTCCCTGGGCAACGTCTTCCAAGCCTTGGACCAGGGGAGCGGCCAGCTCTTCGCGGTCAAGGAGGCGGGGGGGCGGGCAGCAGAGCCCCCGTTCTCGGGGCGGGACGGGCTTGTTTTCTGAACACAGAACTTGTTGGTAGGAGGTGCACTTGTGAAAGACACACTGAGGGTCGGGTTTTTGACTGCATCCAAACATGATCACCTGCGGAAGTTGGACACCTCTACTCACACATGCCCAAAGCGAGTCGACCTCTCCACCGATTTTGTCCAACATCTAAGAATATAACTAGTGGCTGGCAAAAAAAACAGGTATTCAAGGTATCGCCCCAAAGAGGTAAAGCTGGTTCTTCAGCTGACTGCCAACAAGGCATTCTCGGCAGGTCCTGATTAACACCTCTGACGCTGCGGATGTGCAGTTCAAGGCTGGGGCCGGCCTACCCAAACTTGCGACCTCAGTTGAGGTGTGTCACAGCGAGCTTACCAGGGGTAAAACGAGCTCACCCTTGATGAAGGTCTCTTGTGATCCTTTTTTTTGGGATTAAACACCCACACCAAGCTAAGATGGAAGCAAAGCCGAGGGAGGCTGAAAGAAAGACAGGAAAGGCGAACGATCCGTGGGTTTTCCCCTTCAACCCCCCCCCCAAATGGCCTTCGGGCCTTCGGAGAGTCCTTTGCCTTGTGCATCAGACCTCTGTTGGTTTGCGGCCCAGCCACTGGGATGCCATCCTGTCGGTGAATTTGGCCCCCAAAAAAGATGGAGAGTTTCCTTATTGTCTCCGGTTGAAAACCGAGCCCAAAGACGGGTACCATCAAAACAAGGCGCACGCTGTTGGCAAAAAGGCAAGACAGCACCGAGCATCAGAAAGCCAACGGGGTTTCCCCTGAGAACAGCTAGGGGTCGACCCCTATATTCCCGGCCACCACAAAAATCGCCTTTGAGCCGAGTTTTTCATATGCTCGCGTGACGAAAAAAGGGCAAACTACGGGGCAAACTTTGAAATAAAACTGAAGGAGCTTCATTTAAATGAAGCTCCTTCAGTTTTACTGGGGTTACATTTGGCTGTGCGTCAAGGGAAGCCAGGAGAAATCATTCATCGACAGGTTCGTTTTGGGAGTGAGTTCCCCCCCCCCCCCCGCCCCTCAATGAAGAATCTGCCAGGTTCTGCGAAAACCCGGGTTCAACAATGTTCCTTCCACCGCTACAGATCAACATGGAGCGCAGAAAGCTCATGGCCCCCAAACCACCTTCTTTCAGGCTGGTGAAATATTATAATTCACCCAGATTGATGGAAAGATGTCTTCCCAAAAGGGACCCCACGAGTAGAATTCGAGGAGTCTTTGTGGTGGGCGCTTGATCCGGATGCGGGCGTCTCGTAGGACGCCTTGGAGAACGAGATCGAGATCTGCTCCAGGCTGAAGCATCCCAGCACCTGGATCCCAAGCGTGGGCCAGTAGCGGGTTTTGTGTTTCGAGGAAAGGAGAACAGGAAATGGCACGCCATGTTGGACCCCTTTTTGAGGCCCAAAAATTATGGAGGAGAGAAGGGGGCCGGCCCGCACTGCGAAATGGCCCCCCTTGTTGAGGTCCAAAACCTTTCAATAGAGGTCCTCTCTCGCTTCCTTTTTTTCCGCTTGCAAGGGTAGAGACGTGGGTCAGGGTCGCTCGCCATCCTGGCCCCTGAAGTCTGAGGCGTGCACATCCGCCTTGGAATGGGACGTTTTACGTTCCCTTGGAGTGGTTACATTCGAGACACCCTGAGTTACAGGGCTTGGTTTGGGCCATTGTAGTGGCAAACAACATCGCACCGTTTTTGGGCAAACCCACTCCAGACGTGAGATTCCCAAGGGTTCTCAAAGAAATACCTTGGGATGTGGTGTTCCCTTGAAGCCACCATTTAGCTCGAATTAGTTGGAGGATCTCACCTTTGTCTTGCTCTATGCTGCTAAGGTGAGCGGCGTGTTTGTCAAAATCGGTTTTCCGCATTGGGCACGTGACATGTAGCTGTGCAAGGGGCCATTTGTGGCTGGCTTAGCACCCGGTTGCCTTTTGAAGCAATCATGGAAATGGACGAGGGGCTGTTTCGATAGGACTGTAGTCTGCCAACCCCCGCCCCCCCCGTCCACTTCCCTGATTGGACAGAGGGTAAGTAAGCCAGGATTGGTTGAGTCAGCCCTAAATCAGAACACACGGAAGTGGATGGTGCAACCAAGAACGATTTTACACACCATACTGCAGATTCAGAAAGCCCTTCCTCAGGCATCGAGATGAGTTTGATATTTAGAACACCCACTGTTTCACATGGGCATGGGTGAAAACTAAGCCGCCAGGACCGCAGGTTTTGGTTAATGTTTCTGTTTACCAGGGTTCCGTGTTGGGATCCTTTTTTGACCCATGGTCTCACATGCTCTGGGCTTATTGCTTAATCCTCCGACTCCACTGCGTGGAATCCACGCCATGCCGAGGCATCGTGACGTACCTGGGGCATGACTACATTGTCCGGCTCTCAGCCTGCCGGCTCGCCTGATGGCGGCAGCCGAGCCGGGGGGTCTGTGTGCACTGTGATGAGTGCAGGCTTTTGTATTTCTTGGTGGCATATAAGGTCCCATACCTGAACTGACCTGAACATGGCCTTGAAATGCAACATTTGCATAGTGATTTGATGCAGGGTGATGTTTTTCAATTGGCCAGGCAGCACATGCTCACATTTTCCTGCCCCGCGCAATATCCATGAGTTGCCCAAACGACAAGACTTGTCTTGTTCGGTTGTCTCGCAGAGGGACATTGTCCCCACATCTGTCAAAGGCAAACATCCTTGAGGGTGCACCCCTATGCCGCAAGAGCCATTCGTTTGTATACATTTCTACGCATATATTCAGCATATAGCTACAGGTATATAGCCATATACGATTGGCATATGAAACCACGTGCAGTTGGTATCCAATGCCGTATGCTGTTGGTATCCAATGCCAATTCCGGTTGGCAAATCGGATGTACTGCCTCAGCTCTATGAGAATTGTTCCATACAAGCCATTTCTTCCGCGCAAAGGACAGGCTCCATCTACATTGGGCACATTGCCATCTATGTTTAGTAGCTGTTTGCAGTCGGTGCAGGCATGTTGCCAAAAGACGTCTTTGGGTTGTTTTTTTGTTGAATCGTCATCTTATCTTACATGAAGGGAACAGTGCCAGCTTAGAACCTGGTGTGTAGTTTGCTGCCAGACTTCGGGCAATCTACCTTCACCTGTAGACTTAGACAGAAACCCGTCTGCCAGGACAAATGTCTCTTCATCTACATGGAGTACATGATCGGCGGCTCCATGGCCAGTGTGCTGCAGCAGTTCGGAGCCTTCGAGGAGAGGAAGCAAAGAGCATGGAGTGAGTGGACATGGGTGCCCCTTTGGCGTCAGGGGATGTGTGCGTGTTTTTCTTTTTTGGCGGTACTACTGTGGATGGTTGCGAAATCCATTTCGCACCACCCAAGACACCATGGTTGAAACCATAACGTGCGTTGGTATTTACAGGGGATCATATCATTCTAGGGTTTCTTGGGTGGTGCAGGATTTCGTCCATCCAAAGTATGTTTGGTGGGTTTTACGGGGAACCAAAACAAGAACCAAAGCATGGTTAGTGTATACCCTCTTCCGACAATCATGGAAGCGGACGATCAGAGGGTGTTGAAACCTGCCATCGTCTCAAAAAGTCCAATATCGCTTTCTTGGGGTATTCAGGATTGCTACAGGTACCTCAGCTGGGAGGGTGTAGACAACCAGGATGGATCCCCACAGGCAAGATCTGCCTCCATAGGTGTCGTTTTTAGGTGAGCCTGGTAAAACATAGATGGCGCTGGTTTAGATGGGTTTCGTTTCATTTACCAGGGCCATCTATTTTTCCAAACAGCTACATGTCTGCATCCTAACTAGTCAACCAGCTTGACTAAGTCTTGGCGAGCTCGTTGTGACGTGGGAAGTACTAAGGCTCTCGCTCAGAAAGGCCTGGTCCCTTACATGATGTTGGAACCATCAGAAGCTGCAGATAGGATTTCCCTACGGACAAACTGCTACAATCATTTGCAGATAGTTTGTACCAGTATTCATGTTCATCCATCCCAGGTGCAGGATTCGGCCCGTCCACAAGATTGAACAACTCGCGCCTGGCGCATTTTGGGGGCGCATTTTGGAGGCCGGCCACTCGGCCACTAGGCAGGGCCTTTTCTTTTGTTTCAGGAGAGCTTGACCGCGAGATATACCAGAGACTTGCTGGAGGGCTTGGCGTACTTGCATACTCAAGATCCCCCGGCGCCCCGGCGTGGGAGGGTTCAGGAGGCTTTAGGAGTGCCTGAGGTACTCCCATGGCTTTGGTGTAGAGAAAGCTCCTCTTGGAAAAGCGCCCCCTTTTTGGGGTTCCATGTGAAATTTGCAGGGCGTTCTATTTATTCTTGTGGGGTTCCATGTGAAATTTGCAGTTGTGTGTGTGTGTTTTTTTGTGGGGGGCAAAAAGGCTCTGGTGCGAAAAGAAAGTTGCGGTGCTTGTTTAAGAGGGCTTTGACTAAATGGACGGCTGGCAAAGCGGGGTTGGCCCCCTTTGAAATAGATGTTACTATTTTGGAAGTCCTTTGTATTGTAGCAAAAGTGGAACATGCACATATCACCCTGAACACTGGGATGTTGGACCCACTTAGTAGGCAACAATATGCAATGACCATGGTTACAACTGGTGCAATTTGGGTTGGTTCTCTTACAACCATTGTTTTGACCCGACCTATGCAGTCCGGGAATCCGTGTACGTATTAAATCCGAGCCGCATGATTTCTATAGCAAGTTCGTCACGCAAGCTTAGTAGAAAAATAGGGTTTATGCTAATTGCCTGTAGAATTTGCCGCATGTGGACTTCCCTGTTAAACAGATCGCATCAAAGGAGCACACTTAAAACTAGTTGGACATCAATCACCATGTCGATGATGTCGACCAAAGGGTCCTGAACTCAAGCTTCCCTGTGCGGTGTTGCTTGGTGGTACTGGACCGCCCCCAAAGCTTGACTGGATCTTTAGACTTTACCTGTTTGGTTGAAATCAAGTTGGGCTTGCCACTAAACCCACAAAAAGTTCTTCACTGTTTGCAGAGGGGCCGTTGCAGCAAAATATGATGAGCTCAGAGGTCTTTCGTTGTTTCTTCGGTCGGGTCGGCTTGACCTCACTTGAGGTGCTCCACCGAGATATCAAGAGCGCGTCTTACCTGGAAGTGAAGTCAGCAAGCCATCCGATGGCTTCGTGCATTTGTTACATGCCTTGGTCTGCCTGTGCCTGCCCAAGGGACCTTTTCACCTTTTGGTGTCCAATCTTGGGTTTGTTTCTGGGTGAATGATAACGACCTCACACGACCTCACCCCAAATGGTGGTTTATGTGGGGAATAGGCCCCCCAACCACCTTATTTCAGGTTGGTGAAATAGCTCGTGGCTCAAGCCTCCCAGTGGCCGAGCTGGGGCGGCGAATTGGGCCGAGGTCGCCAGCCATGGTACTGGAAGGTCAAGGGTGATTGTGGTGGAGGCCGTTCTCCATGGGATGATGCCAGGACACACGCTACTTCTGGATGGAAGGCTTGTCCCTGGTGACAGGATGAATGCCAAGTGTTCGGAGCCGATGTTTGGAGGAGGGGTGTTTGTCCTGGTGGTGGATGAGGAGGTCTTTGCAGGCAGTTGCAGGGCTTATTCTGATGGCAGCGTGGTACGTGCAGTCGAACTATGTGATGGGGTTGAGGCGATGAGACGTGGTTTGGCATATGCTGGCATCAAGCCCATCTTGGCAGTCGTGTGGATGCCCCTGCTCTGCCAGGTGCTGTGCCTGCAAGGCCCACTGATGGTCATTGAGGGTGAGCTTGGATATGATGGTGGCGGCTTTGACCACAGAGCCCAAACCTGTCCGGCAACCCTCATGAACTTGTACCTCTTTGCCATCCAGGTGGTCATCGCGGAGTGTGTCTCAGGAGCTGGCAATGATGCAAGGGTGCGGAATATCGTGGAATCATGGGCCTGCCCTAGTGGTTCCAGTTCCGTGAGCAGCAGTTGCAGCTCGGTCGAGCTTGGGTCAATGGTTAAATCCTGGGTTGGAGGCTGGGTTTCATGCTGGTCTACACTGCTACGGGTTTATATTTGCATGCAATCATTGGAACGTGCCTGTGCATACAGTACCGATTTTGTGGGGCGTCAGGTGCCCCATGGCTGGGCAGCAGGTGGATGCATTGAGGCTCTGGTTGCGATGGTGGTCCCTGGGTTTGGCTGGGTTGCACACATGGTGGTTATTCCCTGTGCACCTGGTTGTCGGGGCGTCTGGAGCAGTGCATCCTGGACCGGCGGCTTGCTACGATGTGCTGGTAGCTATACCTTTGTTTTTTTTGATGCGCCCTAGCACTTTGTGCTCACCTTTGATTGTGCGGGGTGCAAATACCCCCATGGCCTGGGTCTTGCAGGTGCATTGGAATGGGTTGTGGCTCCGGGGTTTCTCCTTGAGCCCGCACTTGTGTTTTACAAGGAGTGACGTCCTCCATGGAGGACATCACCCGTAGCTGAAGCACAGTGCTGTCTGGTGGTTGTGTCCCTCTTCACAGGGGTGAACATAGGTTCCTGCTGCATTCTGCTAGCGCTGAGTGCAGTAGACATGGCCGAGAAAAGAGAAAAGAGGTTGGTGAAATATTATACTTCACCCAGGTGTTTGGATGGTGCCCCATTTTCTTTTTGCGGGTCGTTTCCAAGGGAAGCTAAAGAAGAAAGTCAGCACTGTGGATGGACAAAATCCATTTCGCACCACTTCGAAACCATGGCAAACCATGGTTTGATTGTATTTACGGTGGAATCATCATTCTACCGCAGTAGGCTGGATTTGTCCCTGAGGCAAACCCAATTTTAGTCAAGGCAAGCCCGGTCACCTTTTGCGTGTGCGTTCTCTGGTGGCGAGTGCCAGCAAATCTTCGACTCGTGTTTGAGCGATCACTTTTCCTGTGAACCTCAATGAAGTTGAGAATGGTAGAGTTACGAGGCCCTTGGATGTGTGTGTGAGTGTTTGGGTGAGGTTCCCTTGAGTCTTAGGCAGAGGGGGCTCCGTTATTGTTTCATTGCTGGTGGCCTTCCATGTCTGACGTGTAGTTCTACTGAGTCTTGGTGCTTTGCAGGACCTGTGCAGACCTGGCCCTAGCAGGGCTTAAGGGAACCACGATCTACTTGGCGGGCTCGATGTGGGTGCACTTTTGGGTTGGTTTCTCAGCACTGCCCTTTTGGCAAGACCATTTTAGTGTAAACACAAGTTTTGTATTTTCTTGCCAATCCACTCAGGTAGTGAGAGAAACCATACCACCGCTCTGACTAATTGCCACACATGGGGAATTTAGAGGGGTAATGTCGTCCCCGGATGCATCAGCCGTTCAGATTGGAGCTGTTTCCCTTAGAAGTGAATAGTTCTCAAGAACCAACCGGGGGGCTAGTGACTTCACTGTTGTTGGCATGTGTTTGTTTCTTGTTCTTTTGTTAAATATTCTTTGGTTTTGTTCAAAATGAGCAGGGGGCTGCAAAAAATCACAATACCAAGGGTTGGGGTCCCATTGCACAGTGCATAGCCCTCCGGGAGTGCCTGAGGCCAACATCCTGATGGGCCATAGTGCGAACAGCGCAGCGCCTGGCTTGCAATCATGGACTCCAGTGCCCCCCTGCCCCGCGTCCCCGCGTCCCCCCTTCCCCCCCCCCCAAAAAAAAAAAGAAACGGAATGAAAACAGGAAGCAGAAACAACACGGACACAAATGCCCCCAAGATCTTGGATTCGCAGATGTCGTGTTAAGCAGTGTTGATTTCATTGCGGTGCCAGATGTATAAACTGGCCAGGCGACAAACCTCCGGAATGCGCCGGAATTCCCCACTTTGCGACTCATTTCTTTGATGTCGAACATCAACAACTGGGGGGTACAGTAACAGTGGAGTCACCTAAAATGGTTAATCCTGCCCAAACCCCTCCGCACCCCCCCCCCCCCCCACTTTCTAGGGGTCCGTGTGACATTGGGCTTGGGGGCGGGCGGGGGCGGGGGAGGTTCTTATGAGGTCTCGATGCTTCCGCAAGCCGCGAGGAGCTCTGTGCAAAGCTCGCGGACTTCGGCTGTTCCAAGAGGACCATCGTCCGAGCCAAACGGGGGCTTTTGGAGCCGAACACCGGGCGCCCTGCACTTGTTGCCTTTTTTCTCACTCCCCGAGTTCATGGGTTTTACACTTTTTGGGTTTGGACCACTCAGGAAATGAGTTTTGTGGTTTTTCCAACATCGCCCTTTGGGTCAATTTAAGTGTTGTTTCGTTTGAGGAGGTTGTTTTGAACCCTAGGCATCATTGGACCCTCGATTGAAGGGGTGCGAACCTCCGTTGAAAAGGTTTTGAACTTCAGACACGGTGGTCCGGACCCCTGGGGGCAACTTGTGTTGGAAGGGTAAAGCTTGAACCCACCCCAATCCCACCCAAGACCCAAAACTCACCCCGTCTCAACCCAATCGAAACTTCCATTTTCTTAAGTATGTTTTATGATGAGATTCCTTCGGTAAATAATGGTGGCTATATAAACCCCTTGATCAAGTGGTGGTTAGAACCCCTGCTTTTAGTTTCTCCTGTTTGGGTTTCCATTCTTCCATTCTTAGTCACGGCCCAAGAAGGGGATCGCCTTTGTGCCTTTGTTTCTGGGTAGATGGGTTACCCTCCCCCAGACCAACATGGAAGCTCCCAGGTCCCTTTGATAAGACTTGGTTCCATTTGCAGAGGCCTTCTAGGAGCTTCTGCTCCGAGTATAATTTGGGAAAAGCCACCCCCCGTGTTTCACGAGCCCCCGCCAAAAGCGCGCCAGGACAGAGAATTCGCTGTCGCACACGCTGAAGGGCTCGATCCCTTGGATGGCGCCAGAGGCCGACGTGTTTCGGGGGGGGCGCGGTGGGTCCTGGATCCCAACTTTGTTTTTGCCAAAGAGCCAATCACAGTCAAGTCCAAGAGGAAGCCAGAAGGGCGTGGTACGTTTTTCCAGACCCCCCCCTTTTGTTTTTCACCCAGTGAATGGGTGGTGCATGGTTGTTGTTGGGAAACATTTTTCCAATTTTTGCTTATTGTTGTTGAGTGGTTGAAATCCAAATCCACTGAACTGCTCAAATTGAAAAACATGCTCCCCTAACCCAACGTCAACCAAGGGTGTGTATCCCTTTAGTTTCCAGATTTTTCTGCATAAAGGGAACCAGCACGAGTCACCAGCCGATGGGATCAGAGTCCGTTCCATTTGGTTCCTGGCAAGGAAATGAAAGCAGACATTTCTGCAGGGCTCCTTAAAAGATCTCCATGTTGCAACCATTTGAAACATGTTGCTTCTTCAACACCAAAATGAAGGGACACCACCATTTACAAGTTGCAATGTTCAGGTGTATAATGTAAGGATCGTTCTGGCTTGTCCTCACACATTTAAGCATGGAATGGGGAGAGGGTTGACAAATCCGATTCTATGCATGGTCCCGTTGTCCCTTGAAGGACATTCCAGCTTCAAGGAACTGCTTTCAGCCTGCTCTTGCTCCAGGGAGGGGGCTCGTTAGTGCTTGGCAAGCAGAGCTCACTATGACTCCTCCTTCACCGAAGTCCCCCAGTAGTGCCCTTTTACCGCTTCTTTTTTGGGTGAGGGTTCCCCTACCAAAATAGACTACAGAAAAAAGGGGACCCTTATTCTAACATATTCTAACCTCTCTACTGGAGGACCTAGTCACTTTGCCCGGGAAGTAGCATTGAGTGTGGCTTGCCTTTCATGAAACCAAAGTCTTACGAAATGATGTTGACACCCCCTTGCCTTGGTTTTCCCAATACGCTCTGTCCCGGGGGGGTCTTTTTGCCACCTTTTGTGAGAAAATTGGCGACCCCCTCAAAAAGAAATCCTTCACTACAAGGGGGTTGATCAATGTTCCACAAAAGCTGGCAAAAAGACCCTCGGGCTTTGTCCCCCTGTTCCGTGCACCGACCTTCAATCACCCTTTCCCGCGCAGGTGGTGAAGAACGTGGGCGCTCGGTCAGCATTGACTTGCGATCGCTGCGATAGGTAGGGAATGAGAAATGGAAGGAACCCAGGCGTTGGTCCTTGAATAAAGGAAACCACCAGTTGGATGGTTTATATCAGGGTCATTCCATTTCTCATTCCCTGGAGCACCAGAAAGTTGACTAGTAATGTTGGGGAGTGAATAATAAAGGGCCCCCCCCCCCTCAAACAAAATGGGCCCCCCCCTCAAACAAAATGGGGGGGGTCAATAGAGGAAACCCTAAAAACAAAATGAGGGTCAGACCGGGTCTTCCCTAAGTAGTATTCCAGTAAGTATTGGTTAGTATTGGTTTAGTATTGGCTTAGTATTCTTGCTGACTGGCTTAGTACTGCTTAGAATTGGTTTAGTATTGGTTTAGTATTCTGGTTGACTGGCTTAGTACTGCTTAGAATTGGTTTAGTATTGGTTTAGTATTCTTGCTGACTGGCTTAGTACTGCTTAGAATTGGTTTAGTATTGGTTTAGTATTCTGGTTGACTGGCTTAGTACTGTTTAGAATTGGTTTAGTATTGGTTTAGTATTCCCTGGCCCCAGTCCTAAACAACTTTTCTCAATTAACTCCCCTTAAACAAATCTCATTATTGGCTTCCTGGGTGTTCCCTGTACTACCCCCTTGAAAATTTGGCAGGGTGCAACTTTTAGTAAGGGCTGTCATAAAGAATTTGGCTTGGGGCCTCAGTTAAACTTCCTTTTCTGGGGAGACTCAGTAGTTCTTTGGAAAGGAAACTTCCTTTTCTGGGGAGACTCAGTAGTTCTTTGGAAAGGGAAGCCCTTTTCCCTGCAGGCATCCCTGGCCCCAGTCCTAAAAAACATTTCTCAATTAACCCCCCTTAAACAAATCTCATTATTGGCTTCCTGGGTGTTCCCTGTACTACCCCCTTGAAAATTTGGCAGGGTGCAACTTTTAGTAAGGGCTGTCATAAAGAATTTGGCTGTTGGGGACCTCAGTTAAACTTCCTTTTCAGGGACTTCAATCATCATCTCCTTGTTGGTGGTTGTGGTAGGTTGGGGGGGCGGGCGGGGCAGAGAGAGACAGGAGTTGCACTGAACTAGGGATTAATTATCAAACTTTTTTTTGGGGATCATTTTTCCGGATTTTTTGCCCCTCACAAAAACTGTTGTGTATTAACTCCCCCTTTTGCTTTTCAGGGGTGTGAATATTTTTTGCATTTTTTTGTGTATTGACTCCCCATTTATTATTCGAAACCTAACATTGCATGAACAACAAACATATTTGAAACCTAAGTTTCGGCTTGAACATTGACCAAGTAAAACAGCCCCTACCACCCCCAAAACACACACACACACACACGTCCAGCTTTTGGTCTGTTTTAGTATTCCCCAAGGCGGAGGTGAAGGGAGGTTGGGGCCCCGCGTTTCTCCCGTTGCAAGAGGGCCTGAGTTCACTTGAAGTGAGAAAGGGTAAATGGTGCCAATGGGGGAGCACTGTGGGAGGTTTCGCGATTTCGGCTTTCGGGTCCCAGATCCAAGTCCCAGGCTCAAACCCGATGCGAGATCCCAAGCCTATCAAACGGAGTTCGAGCGGATTTGGGTGTGATTGGGCGTGTTTCTTTTTTAGGGACCCCCCAAAATGGTTTAAGCCACTCAGGTGACGTTAGCTAACCTTCTGGGGTTTTGAATCCTGGACACAAAAAACAATTTGATAGATGCATTAACCTAGATTCATCGTCTAAATTGCGTCAACCTTCTTTTGCCGGGGGTTGAACCCTAGGGAATTTGTGTTTTGGTTTAGGTATTGAACCGTAGGACCCTTTGAGTGGGTTTAGGAGCCATTTGCTAGGTGACGGGCTATGGTGAATGGCGACCATATTGTGGATGGGGACGAAATCCCTGTTTGTCGGTGTTGACAGGTGAATAAATCATTCCAGCGATTCTTCGGTGGGTGCGAAATGGATTTCGTCCATCCACAGTATGGTGGCCAATGTTCCCTCTGCACTTGGATGAGACAAATCGAATTGGGGGACGAGTCCTTGACTGCTATTGGGTAGCGGATCTTTAGAATTTAAGTTTTTGGTTGAAATCTCTTGGTTTTCCGTACTAAACCCACAACAAGTTCTTCACTTTTTGCAGAGGGGTCGTTGCAGAAACCAAGCAGTGGGAAGCCAAAAACAGCTTGGGGTTCTTTTTGTTTTTCTCCGACCAATCCGCAGCGACGGAAACTCGGTGGTTTAAGCAGCACCGCGTTTTGGGTGAGGCTACGGCCGCATGGCGGACATGTGGAGTTTCGGGTGTGTGGTGCTGGAGATGGGTACTGCGCAGAGCCCTTGGGGGAGCCTTGGCGTCGGGCAGTCGGGGAGTCGGGGAGGATCTGAGGGTCTGGACACATTTTTTGTTGGCCCCTTAACTCAAATCCTACGTCCATGGACTGGCCACTTTTTTTTTGGTTTGCACCATTCAAGTGAAAACAACAAGTTCGGACTTTTTTGGGGCCATCCACTCAGGAAGTCAGTCAATCAGCCCCAGTTTGTTAATAGGGAGCTGGGGGCCCCTCCGAAAGTGGTCCGATTCCCGACTAAACCCAGTTGATAAAGCTATTAATACACTGGGGTTGAGTAATATGGAGACAACATTAGATGTTATGTCCGCAGCCACCAGCTTTTTCAATTGCTCAGTTTTGCCTAACACGTGCGAACGGAGGTCTGGAGTGCAAGTGATTGTGGGGGGCTTGGGGAAATTGATCCGGGGTCTCCAAGACGGTTTTTTCTCTTAGGTTAGAGTAGCTCAGTTGCCCAAAGCCGACCTTTTGACCTTTTGGTTTCTCCTTTTTGGTCTAGTTTTAGTCATGGCCCCAAAAGGTTAACCTTTTATTTCTGGGTCCCTAAGGGGCAAGTGAGGTAGACTAAATATTGAACAAGGCCAGACACGTGCTTCTTTGAGTACCTCGGAGGTGGGCCAAGTTCAATCCGAGGAAGTCAGTATTGCAAAATAAAAATTCATATAATCTGAACAGTTTCTCCTCAGGAGTGCAACATGGGTTCTGCAGGACCAGGGAATAGCTAGCTCATTGGGTCAATTCTTTGCAAGCAGGTTGGGACATCGAACGTGGATGCTAGCAACCAGGAGGTCATCAAGTATCATATTTGAGCTCCTGAAAGGGGCAACTCATCGCGACACCCCAGAAACGCCAGAAACGACGCGACGCGACGTTTTGCCGTTCTGGTTGCATGCTGTTTGCACCATGGGCATTTGAGTGGCTTTGAAAGGGCCACCTCGAGGGGAAGCCCAGTTGACTTTGCAGAGAGGATGTGTCAGCGCGCAGTTTGCCCAAGACTTCCTCATGGCGCAAATTTCATGGTCAGCTGAGCCCTGCGGAGCAAGTTCGGGTTTCGGGTTGCATGGGGTCGACCACTCACTTCCTGGGTTCCTGGACTTTACATTTTTTGGAATATATGTGTTTTTTTGTTTTTGTTTTTTGTTGGTGTGTGTTTCTGCTTTTTGGTTTTCTTGTTGTGTTTTTCTTATTTTTGTCAAATGAAGAGTTCAAACATTTTGTTGACCAATCCTCTCAGGAAGTCATTAGAGTCAAAGTCGGCTCCTGTATTGGAGCTTCCTGGGTAGTTTCCCTTGAGTGTTTGGCAAGCTTGTCACTGGAAGTATAGAGGAATAACCTCAAGCTCAGCGGTCCTCAATATCACGAAGCCTGAAAAGAAGTCTCGGGAAGAGTAGTCCCCAACTCTCGACAGAAAGACAGGTTAAGAAAGCTAGCCCCAACACCAAGCATGCCGGAAAGATACACTGCACCACTGTGCTTAGTAAAGAGGGTGGGGCAAGTGCCGCACCCCCTGGATGTTTCTCATCACGCCGAGGAAATTCGACAATCCCATGGCGGCCATGCGACTGGGAGAGAATGGCGCAGGAAACGCCCACAGAAGCGGTATAGGCACCCCCAAAGAGCCTTGTTGCATTTAAGTCATTGCTCCTTTGCGAGTGCAAGGGGAATGAACTGTATGGAAGGGGCGCTTTGTGCCACCTGGGCTTAATGAGAGAAGGCCACGAGTCACGGGTTGTGGATGCCCGAACATTGCAAACAACATGGATGGTTTCTCACAAGAAGGAGAAGAATGGGGCAGCAAGCGCTGGGGCACATGGTTGGCAACTTGAGCGAGCTCAAGTTCCAGGAAGTGCAAAAAGGTTGCTCAAATTCCAAGGGTCGCTCGCTTCCTGCGTACTTGGCTTTTAGACTTTTCACGAAGACCATTTAGGTGGTAGACAAAAAGTTTAGACTCGTTTTGGCCAATCGGGTTACTTTGGAATGTAAGATGCCTTCTTTTGTCCAATGCATAAAGTGTATGTTATGTGCCCATAGCCCAGCTGACGGTTCAACCTTCATAATTTGGGTTTGGCTTTAAAAATGGTTTGGTCTGTGTTGAGGGTACTCGTTTTTTGGTTGGCTTTAAAGGGAAGCAACCCAAATATGATTGTTTCTTTCTGGCTTTGAGCTTTCAACAACCTTCAAACAAAATCATACCCATTGAGGACCCCATCGGCAGGGTAGAAACTCTGGTGAAGGGAAACCAGAGGACACACCAAAGGATTGGTGGTTTGGTTGCGGATTTGAACCTTTGCTTCTTGTGGAGTCGGGAAGGCACGCAATCCCCACACCACCAAACCACCAGTTCGGCTCCAAACCGATCAGTGAGAAGCTGAACCCTAGGGTTCAACCATTCAACCCCCAAGAAAATACAAGTTGACCCAATTTAAGTGAGGAAACTCCTCAAGTAAACAATGGTGTTTGAATGGTGGGATTCCCAGGGAATTGTTTGGAGTTTGGATTAGCAAGCTTTGTGATGTGAAACACCCACTTCCTTTGCAGAACTGTGACAAGCCTTTGCTCATCGCCAAGCTTAGCTGACCTTTTTGACTTTTGGCATATCACTTCTCCCCTTTCAACCTACGTACGTTCCTGCAGGGGGTTTACTCACTTCCTGAGTTCATGAACTTTAAACTTTTTTGGAAGACCATTTTAGTGGTAAATATAAAGTTTGGACTTTTTCTGGGCCATCCACTCAGCCAGTGAGTTTAAGTGTGCACCAGTAAGCCTGCGCATTTCTGGAGGGACCCTGACCATTCTCAAAGCCCTTCCGCGCCTTCCGCGCGCCTTCCGCAATCATCACCGATTCGGGGAGATGAAGGTTAAGGGACGATGCCCTGGCCAGAAATAGCTGCGGAGATCCGTCTAAATTCTTGAAGCATGGCTCTGGGTAGACCAGTTTGATACCGAGTTTTGATTGTGCCCCCCTCCCCCAACAACCAAGAGGCTGGTCGCTTCCCAGGTACCCAACAAGGACGATCATAGGTCAAACAAACATTAATGTGAACACACTGGCGCGGAGGATATGAACAAGACACATCAAGTCAACTGATTCACCCTCAGGGGATAAACCCCCATGATATTGTCAAGGATCATTTTTTAGCTGATGAAACCTGGGCAAAGAATGCTGATACTATGTTCTATGAGCCCAACCATTGCTTTTGGAATCCCAAGGCTTTAGCTTCCCTCCTGGTGGGTAGCAGCTTGACAGGAACCAAGGGTTCCAATCTGGATCCAAACCGGCAATCCAACAACTATGCCTGACAGACAAGAAACACTCCTGTCCAGGGTTGTGAGATCACTCGGGGTTTTTCCCACTTCTGTGAGACAAGGGAATCTCCCCCTTTACATGGGGAGTTAGTCTTTGGGAAGCCCTTTTTGTTGTATCACAGAAGTGGTCATTTCCCACAGCCCTGCTCCTGTCTCAAACATACTCGCCTTCCAGAAGATGAGGGGACGAGATTGGGCGTTTGCTTTCCCAGCTGTTCAGTGGCGGATGTTTCCCTTAGTGGCCAGCGGGTTCCCTGTTGCAAATCAACAATTCCCCCCCAAAAAAAAGAAGGTATTGTACTCACAAGAGCGGATGGGGTGTTGAAGTGCGGCTCTCTCAGGTACAAGATCGGCATGTCCGAGGAGACGCCGCCCATCCCCGAGGACTTTTCAGATCTTAGCCGCAGCTTCGTGAAGCGATGCCTGCAGCGGGATCCCGCGGAGAGGCTGAGATGGACTTGGGAGGGACGGGTTGCGGTGAATTCTGGATTTGTGTGTTTTGTTTGGGTGATTTGGCGGTTTAGTTGGGGTTAGGTTGGAGTTTAGGCTGTGGTAGCGTTGGATTGTGCAAAAATTGGCCAGAGGAGGACCCTTGGTTGTGAGTTCTGGGAACGTTTGCACCAAGAATAATTATCGGGGAGGTACCAATCCCCATGCTCTGATTCATGTGTAGTGGGGGGGATCTGCATTTAATGTGCCCCTTTTGCACATCAACTATGTTCCCTATTTTGGTGATAAAATGCGAATCTGCATTTGGGCACATTATAAATAGCTGACCTGGGGTTAGAACTTGCTTTTCCATCATGAATGGTTTCTCACTTGGGGATTCCGTTGGCAGTGCAATTAAACGCGAGGTCCTCTCCCAATGTCCACCATACGAAGGGACATCATGTTGACCCCATATTAATCAACCCCCAATTTATGAACGGGGGTGTGCCCGGGTTTAGTGGGGATTCACCTTTGGAGAGACCCCCCCATATCAATAGACTGGGGATTGATTCATATCGAGTCAACATAAACGAGGTTGCGGATTGGAGGCCTGCCCAAACCCCCTGTCATGTTTCGGTGGTTTCTCATACAAACGATGGGCAACTGAACAAGAACTGACTCGGGAACAACCTTGGGAGCGTCTTCCATTCAACTCCAATGAAACCCCTCACGAAAAGTCTATGGCTTTCCGGCTAGAACAACTTCGAGGAAAACTGCCCCTCAACAACACGAGGTACCCACACCCACCCCCGTTTTCCACCCACCCACCCACCCACCCACCCACCCACCCACCCGCCCGCCCGCCCGCCGCCGCCCGCCCGCCCCCCGCCCGCCCGCCGCCCGCCCGCCGCCGCCCGCCCCGCCCGCCCGCCCGCCCGCCCCGCCACGCCACCCACCCACCCACCCACCCACCCCACCACCACCCACCCACCCACCCACCCACCCACCCACCCCACCCCACCCACCACCCACCCACCCAACCCACCCACCCACCCACCCACACCACCCACCCACCCACCCACCCACCCACCCACCCCCACCCACCCACCCACCCACCCCTCCTTGAAAATCCCAAGGTTCTTTGCCCGATTCCGTGTGTCCAGGTGGGATTCCCAACCGTTAAACAAAGAACAGGTCGGTTTGGCCTCCATTGTTCCTCCGTTGACCGCGAACCTCCATTGCTGAACAACAATATTAACCACCATATTAATTTATATATGTTTGTGTGTGTGTGTGTGTGTATCTATGTCCGCCATTGTTTAACATCACTATCATTCACCGTATTAATAGATATATAAATATATACACACACACACACCTTCAGGAGCCTATGCATTACATATGTATATATATATACAAGGTTCCATCCTCTAAATTGGGTCCCACGGATTTTTTTCATGGGGGGTAGACCCTATGAGTGGAATCGGCACAGGGCTACGGCCACGGAGCTCTTGCAACATCCCTTCGTGCCAAGCTCAGAGAACCGCCAGCGCTCGTACCCCGAAAGAAGGAAACCGTGTGTTCATGGGGCATTGGGGGCTGTGGCGGAGGGATTCCTAGTAAGCCCTTAGTAAGGCCTAAGCCCCTACATATTAATTTTTAAGGGCCTTCATAAGGCCTATTTAGGATTCCCCCCCTCCCCCCCCACTTTCATGCGTTTTCCCCAACAGCTATTTTGCTTTAAACAAGAACACCTCATTGTCTATGTTTGCCTTAAAGCCCAACAAATCATATGTTTGTTGGGTGGAGGGTCGGCGAAACAAGTATACGTCAAAGACTGAGCTGAGCCACGGCACCATGTTCTGGGGGCTGGTTCTCGGTCACACCCAGTGGGGGACAGCTTTCAGGCCCTACAACCCGGGTTCAAACCCAAATAGAGTTCCCAGATTCCCAACCAATCCCAAAGACCACAAGGTTTCATGGCGAAAATGCCAAGTGAATGTAAGGTGATCAAGTAGTCATGGGGATTGCCAATGTTGGTATCACAGAAAGATGTATTTTTCATGGACAACAGGATCCAAAACGCGATTGGGTGTTCACCAATCGTGCTGAGAAAGCCTCCATATCTGGGGTTTCTGTGCACAGCTGCAAGGGATTACCCTTCCCACCATGGCACCCGTGACCGGGTCCATGGCAATATGCCATGTCAACGTAACCCCTCCTCGCTTTGGAAGGGCACTTCGACACCCCCAGCTACCCTGCAGCCTTTCAATGCTACTTTGAGCAACGATTTGGTGCGAAAGACTAGGGGTAGCTATCCAATTAAAAGCTGTAACCCAAAGACACGTGCTAGCTGACTAGCTTGAGGTGTTCTAGGCTTTCTTATTGCAGACTCTTAATTTTATGTAGCTTTAGTGGTTCAACATTAGCATTTGTTTTGCAGGACTAAACGCAAGCTTGCTGCCTGGTGCCTCATAACTGCCTGAGTTATGACAGATGCAGAATTATTGGCATGCTTGAGCTGACAACTCTTGACTTGGTGGCTCCCAGCCATCCGGTTCCTTAGCTTTTTAGCTTTTTAGTGTTTAGTGGGGTTTTCCATTTAGCCCACTAAAAGTTAAACTCTTAGCGGGGCATCTGAGGACAGCTCAGATAGAGTGTGGCCACATATCTTTGCACAGGACTTGTGGCAGAGTCTGTTCTTGTGCCCATGTGCCTTGATCCCTTCCCTTGCATGCTCTCCCACCAACACCAAAAAACAAACGAGAGAGGGTGTGTGCCTTTGTGCTTCCCCACGATTCATCCGAGGTGCAAAACCTTGAGTTGAGCGATGACTGATGGCTGCCATCTTCGCCAGCCGACAAAATGAAACCGGTTTTGCTGTTTTGCGACTCTGTTAGACCGTTTTGGGCGGCACGGCGGCCGCACCTGGTCGTGCAAGCCGCATGCCTGTGGCGGCTTCCTGTTTTTTGGCCCGTGAGCCGCCAGCCTTCCTGGTCAGAAATTGATCGGCGCCCAGACTTCTTGACATCCGGCAGACGGGGTAGATGATCTGATGGCAGTCTTGTTGCTAGCTGCGGGTCTCCCCCTGTTGAATCGTTAAGTGGTTTCGTCTGGGCAGGCATCCCAGGTAATTATCCATTCTGGGCATATGAGTCATCAGAAATGCTGTCAAGATTTGTGGAGATGGGCATCACGTTGAAGACGTGAAGCTTGCTTAGTGTTTGATAGCTTCATTCGCTCCTGCTCAAGTATTAAGTCCAGGCCATCTTCAGGTATGGCTTCTGGAGATGCGGAAGTCACATGCCACTTGTCTGCGAGGCATAAGCGCTGTCTTAGCTGGACACCATACTATACACGGCATGTAACCTTGCACACCTCCGGAGCTCCTGACAATGTTCTGGCAGCGTCATAAACAAGCATATGGCGTTGAACATGCCAGTTTGGCGCTCTTAGACTTTGCGATGTCCTGCTAGGCATCCAAACTGAGCGTTCTGGTGCAAGTCCGCACGATTGTCTTGATGGTGCGAGAGATGCGGGGAATGAGAAATGGAATAACCTGTACAACCAAAAACAACTATGGATTCCTTTAAGGGACTCCCCAGATTCATTCCCTCATTCCTTGCTGAGCACCAGCAAGTTGTTTCTGCAAAGATATTCTTTGCTCAGGGAGCTTGTTAACAAATGTTGCGTAGTGGTATCGAATTTGTTGTGTTATATATGCCATGGCTGTCTCTCAGATGTAGATCAGGCGCCCTCCTTCCCAGTAGTTGGACTAAGTCCGGACAAAGCACAGGAGCTGCTTTGCCCAGCAAGCGCCTCTCGAGGCTTTGGGACGTGAATCAGATGCCATGAAACCCACCAGGGCGCCAACACCGGGTCCCAAGCAGGACCCCCCAAACGTGAGGTCTCACGTTTGATGGGCATGTGTGATCAGGCCGGGCCGAGGCCACCCCTGGGCCACAGGGTTATGGTGGACATCCAGTGTGGCAACCTTCTTCTTTAGGGTACCCGAAAGAGGGTACACCTTGTTTGGTGATTTCAAGGGACACCAAAACAAAACTTCAAAGTAACTTGTTCGGGGTCAAAAAGACTCGCAAGCCAGCAGCCACCGAATTGTCAGAAGCCCTGGGGCCAAACTCTGCGTTGCCAGGAGATCCTCTTCCCCAGCCCCGCCACCTTTGCGAAGCCCCCGCTGGGCGCCAGGAATTCCAGGCGCTCGATATCTCGCGTTCCATCCCCTCGCTTTTCATGCGCCTCTGCGAGCAAGATTTTTTGTTGCGCCCCAGGAAAAGATGACTAGGTCCCCCAGTAGTGCCCTTTTGTCAACTTTTTTGGGGGAGCGTTCTCCTACTAAAATAGACTACAGAAAAAAATGGTACCGGACCTAGATGATCTCAAGGGAGATCACCCTGACAAGGTCCCTAAGGTGTCCCTTCTTGATTTTTCAGCATTTCCTTTTTGGCCAGTGAAAGGTGAGAGTTCGTTGGTGGGGTGATGTTGTAAGGGGAATTTCGGAGCCCTGTCACCACAAATGTCCGGCTGGTTCTTAGCGGGAAGCCCTTGCTTGGGAAACGCGGTTGGTTGACTTTGTATTGAGGGCAATGGGTGGGGTATTTGGAGTCTTTTGGACTCCGGGGTCTCAATTTTCGGAGTGTTCCCCGTGCATACTGTGGATGGACGAAATCCTGCACCACTTTGAAACCATGGGAAACCATAGTTTGGTGCTATTTACAGGAGAACCCTCATTCCAGGGTTTCTTAGGTGGTGCAGGATTTCGTACATTCACAGTATGGTTTGAAATAGGCGTCCCCGACTTCATGCACTAGAATGACACTGTGCTTAGGCAGACCTTCGGGTAGCGCAAGCCGTAAACAGCAAGAGTGCACCTGCACGTGGACAGCAACCGACCATCACTAGACCGTCTGGAGCAACCGGATTCGCTTGGGGGCTCGATTCGCCAGGACGTCATTTACTGCGACCACCCGGGCGAGCTCAACGCCAATCATAGCAGGCCTGCTCCAAAAAGATATGGGAAGCCGCCCAGCGGTTAAACCATTTCTTGCGCAATTAGAATGTGTTCCAGAAGTCAATGCTTGCCATGCGTCTGTGTGCGTGTTTGCATTGATTTGTTTGTTTGTGCTTGTGTTGCGCCTGGGCGGAACTGAGCTGCCCGAATGAACTGGACACGTTGGGCCTGGATTCGAAATTCCACCGCTCAGGGCCACAAGCAGCCTGAGCCTCAGCATTTGGCAGTGGGTTTTCCAGCCCGTGTCTTAAAATCAACAGGTCTGCATTTCAATTAGAGTATGTGAAGGAGTTGCCAAGAGATCCTGGCAGGGCAGATCTTCAGCAATGCATCTTGATGCCCAAAGGGGGGCTGCTTCCCTTTTCCTCTCGCAGCCATTGGCAAGACACAACTCCGCAGGACGGGTGTCGCACGGCGGTGGCTTGCAGCCTCCCACAAGTCTCACGCGCATAGGTAACACGAGCTCACACTGCCCTCTCTATGGGCTCGTTCCATTTAGTCTTCGGAATGACTGCAACAACACTTGCAGAACCAGCGTCTTTCCTTCTGTTGTGTGTCTTTTTTGTTTTTGTTTTTTTTTGGTGGGGGGGTCATGTTCATGGGATCGATGCCGAGCTTCCCACTTGCCCGCCAACTCGGCCAAGGACAAAGATCCGAAGTCAGGGAAAACGCCTTGGCCCTGGCATGGTGAAGGGAGGTCTCTTACTTCCCCAGCTTATGGTCCGTCATGGTTGCCAGTGAGAGCACTTTTTGGGTAGATCATCTAATTCTTCCATTCGCTTAAGAATATATGTTTGATTGCCCATGCTGGTGCTGAAGGGCACATATCGCAAATGGAAAATGTGTTCATTTTGTCCGTTGGGCTGAAGCAACTGGAGGTACTGGTAGACAACAAGTGCAGACTTTTCCTGATCCTTCCACTCGGTTGAAATGTTGCAAGAAGTGCTTGGATACCCCGAAGAAAATCATGGATGTAACATGGAGCTGAGCCCATGTGGCTTCCCCAAATCGCCATCAGGCCTAATTTGGCCCGATGGCGATTTCGGCTGGGGGCGGTGTTGGCAGACGAAGTCACGTGGCCAAAGCGGATAACCTTAAAACGTGAGAACCTTCTGACTACCTCAATCGAATTCCACAAGGCTTTCACCTTTTGCAGAGAATGAAGCCGTCGGAAAGTTCTCTCTTTCGCTTTACCCGATGAGAGATCTTCAAGCCTTCAGATTTCAGGTTCAAATTCATATGTCAAAGCATTCCTTCTCTCAGTTGCCCAATGCGAATCGACCTGCTGACCTGTTGGTTTCCCTGATTTGCTCCATCTTCAGTCATTTGATTTCCAAAAAGAACCGCAACCTTTTACTTCCAGGTCCCTTTTTGGGGCAACTGAGTTCTACTTGCGCCCTGCGACCTGCACTGTGCCGTGTTTTTTTTTGGCGTCGGATCGATGCGATCGAGGCCGCAGAGCCTGCTGTCTTTGGTGTCCTGTGGGGACCGAAGGCACTCCCTCAAGAGGCGCGCGCCGGTGCCTCAGATCCGAGGGGTTGGGAGAAAGCTTTGGGCCCGTCGGGGTGGAGGCAAAAGGGACGCCAAAAAAAAAACAAAAAAAAACACGGAAAAGTAGGCTGACTGACTTGTGACGTTCTTGGCGGACACTTTGGGGCGGAGGGTTTCGGGGGGGGTTAGGGGGGGAGGGAAGGTGAGCAGGAACATATTGTGAGTGTTCCCGCATTTATTCAAGACACCCAAGTGGGGGGCCCATTCACACACGGGGTCCCAAGCAAGGGGGGTAGCTAAAATTTGTGGAGATATACCGACTATGTACCCAATGTCAAACTCAAGAAGCAACGCCCAACTCAAAGGATCCCGTTGAGATGAACAGGAAAGCTGATAATTTCTGGATTGCTATTCGGTTGGATCTTTGGACTTCAACTTGGTGAGTTGTTTTTTTGGGTGTCCGTAATATGTTCCGCAAAGAAGGTATTCGCTTTTTGCAGAGGGGTCAACTTGTCAACAGCAACCAAGATTTGGAACTTACTTCACTCAGCGCAACACGGTTCTTTCGCATAGGCTGGGGAGAGAGGCGTTGGTCAGATCCAAAAAGATCTTATCGGTACAAACATGTATTTGGGGAGGCCGGGCATCAGAGGTGCTTTCCCAACAATCGTCCATTTGCTGAACTGAATGTGTGTTATCTTTCCCTGTTGGATTTACAGGGAATCTATCACTTCTGGAAGTATATTGTCGTTTTGCCAGGGGACTTAAGAAAACAAGCATTATCAGCTTGACAGTGCCCAAGGTTGTTTAGCCCTCACCGGGCCGGGTTGGTGGCCGCTGGACGTAGCATGGCATACCGGTTGACCTAGTTACGAGCGTTTGGTGGTTGCAGCATGCCAGATACTAGTGGTATTCAGCGGTTGCAGAGGGGTGCCAGTAGATTAGGAAGACGCGGACGAGATCTATACACCACCTCAAAAAAAAACCGTGGAAGACCCAGAACGTTTGTTGGGTTTTTGCAGGGGGATTCACACTTAATTCCCTTGGGTTTCTTGGGCGCCCAAGAGGATTTCGCCACCACAGTAGGGACCCCCGGGACCCTTTTCCCTGTTTTCAGCCACCCGGAAAGGAACCGCCAAGAAAAATTCTCGGTGAACCCGCCGGATTCCATGGAGGGTTCTGTTCAGAAGCTGGCCAAACACTGGAATGTGAATCTTTTGGTTCAGGAGGCTGGGTGAAAAGAATGGGGCGGATCATGTGTTTCCCGACCTCAAGCTGTTTGGCAATATCGTGCTAGGTGCAATGTCTCAGTTCTGCT